ATTTTGTCTCAAGCGTTATTATACTTGGAGATGGAAAGGTCACTTAATATGATAGACCATTGATCCATTAAATACGTTAGTTTAGTGCTGTGTGGTTATGTTCATACTGAAAATGATTTTCCTAAACACATTTTTTATTTAGGAACTTGTGTTAATGAGGAAAAAATGCTTAAGGTGGGCAGGTTAAGGATCGATGAGGGCACCAAGATAGTTTTCTATGCCTTGTTTACAGTAGCCTCCTCTGGGCATAGCAGAACTGGATCATCTGGCTATGTTTTTTGTGTTTCCACACAGCAGTTTCTTATGTACTCGTGACCCACAAGTATTTCTCACACATCTAGCAGGATTCTAATGTGTGTAGCAATTAAATTACATAATCACCATTAATATGAATACAGTTGCTCTGCATGCTAAATTTAATCATTTATCATGAAGATTAAACTCTTCTATAGTCCTCTATCAGTTGCCTTTATTTGAATGCTGCCTGTAGGTTTTGCTTGTAAAGAAAGCTGGACTTGATCTGATTTTAAAAGAAATTCTTTATTCATCATAAAAAATCCCAAATCATATATCACTTAAAAAAAATTTCTTAGTTGTAATTAAAGCATGTCCTAAATAGTTATTTACAAAAGTATTAACCCTGTTCCAGTGATATTTGGTTATTTTACAAATCATGCATATATATGATTTTAAGTGAATAATTCAATCAAAATTCAAATGCTCAAACTGAACACTTCTTTGAGTAACAAGTTTAATATTGGCGCCACCTGCAATTTAATGTGAAAAAATGGAATATGTTGATGGTATAAGTATTCACCCTCTTTGCTGTGGCAAAACTCAGTTTAGCTTCATTAGTTGCACAGTTAATTGAATGGTATTAATAGTGGTTCATAATGCATCATAATGTTGTCTCTGTTAAGTCTTTAATTCATGTAGTGAATTTCAAGTAATGCATTAAACCATGCAAACCAAGACCAAACAAATTGGGGACAAATGTGTTAACTTCTTGCACCCATAAAATGTTTTCAGTTTGATAATTGAAAGTTCTGATTAAAAGATTCATATTTTTTATGTACATTTCACTTAAAAAATACCTAACTTGTATTGTGTGTTTGAAATGTCCTTTGAGTTTATGTGGGACTAATGGTTTCACACTGTACTTCAGTGCCTGGTGTCCAGTCCTGGTGTATCTTTCTCTTGCTCTCATGGTCAGCCAGGTTGGCCTCTGGCTCCCGTCACTCTGTAATGGACCAAGTGGTTATTGAAAATGGGCGGATGTTAGTCCCTACACTAAGTTACAAAAAGGTGAAGGAATTCTAGTCCTTTTGAATACATAGCTGAGAACTTTTATGTTTGCTTTTGAGAGTATCACTCTCAGTGCTAAATGGTGATAAATGCTTGGCATCCTAACTAAATTTAAATATTAAAAATCCAAGTGACTGAAGATTTTTTGAAAAGATTGAAATTGCTACTCACCCACTTCTGCATTTGCAGATTACAGATACTGCTGATTATGAGTTCTTGTCTTCGCTGTCTACTGACAAACAGACTTGAGCCAGGTTATGGGTTCACTGTGCAGTCTTGGAAATTGTGTGGTTGAACAGTTTTCAAGCCCCCCAGGAACTGGAGATTTATAAGTTAGTGACAAATAATACGATGTAGAGGATGTGTTCCTTCTGCACTGGATCAGTGAGGAACAAAAGTTTCTGCATTTAATTTTACATGCATTTTCTTGTCATTTTAGACTTGTCAGGTTGGGCTTAACTTTGCAAATGAAGAGGAGGCAAAACGTTTCAGAGCTGCATTGGGAGAGCTACTTGGAAAGCGACAAAGAAAAACGGGTGAATGTTATTTATGTCATCATCTGTGTTGTTTGCTTTTCCCATATGAAATCTCTCTCTGCTTCAACTTCTGCTTCCTTAAACGAAAGCTCTCTTACAAATAGGCATTGGTCTTAAATTGACAAAGTTGGCCTGAGGGAGCTTTCTAAAAAACAGCTAACGTGTTGTGTGCTTTGAAAAGTCCATCTACTCTTAGTTGTCTTTGAAGCAGGATCTCGTGCTGTGAAAGGAAGTTATTTAGGGTTTAAAAGGTTAGCATTAGTGTGCATCGATAAACTTTTTTTCCTGAGTGGTGTACATTTGTTCTGCATTAACACCCTTTCCTGAACGAATTTCTTTTTGCACTCAAGTACCCTGCCAACATTAAAGGAGGAAGGAGAATATGAACAGTCTACCTTTTGTAGCCCTTATCAGAACACTACTGCGTTATGGACGGTTTTCTTTTAATTTTATTTTTTAAATCGGTGGGCCTTGAGACCTCTTATTTCGCTTGATGTCTTCGTATTCTGCAAACAAGATTCGTTTTTCCTGTCGGTATGTTTTTCTGTGAGTTCCACATGCAAACTAACTGGAAAGAACAGCTTATGGATTCAATTGTATAAACTCCGTGCCCTTGGAATTCCTAGTATTTTTTTTTCTTTCACTACTTTTTGCCACTAACATACACTTCTAAGTTGTAATTATTTGAATTTTTTGTTTTTGCAGAAAAAAGACGTGACCCTCCAAATGGTAGGTTATTAATTACATTAAATTTACATAAATCAAGAAAACCATCTTAGATTACAGACTGTTTTTGCTCTCTTACAAAGCAAACACATAAAAATGGCCTGAACAATTCTAAAGATGACATAACTAAAGATGATCATTGTGTTCATGGCATAACTACTGTAGTAGGTAATAGAGCAGTTATCGGAAGTCTTCTCAATTACTGTGTTCACAATGCGTTCTTTTCATAAAAACGGTACCTATATACATGGATACATTTTTTCTACACTTAACTAATCAGTACCTTTTTTAATTCAAACTGATGCCATTGCTACATAAAGATTCTTTAACATCTGTTTTGAGTTAAGTTAAGCACTGTAGTGTGAACTACATGAGTTGAGAATCGGGTCAAGACATGGAGATCTATGATCATAAAAGGTTTTCAAAGATGTGAAAAAAGGCACACGTGATGCACTTCTTTAATAATTTTGTTGTTATTAGAGAGTGACCAACTGAAAGATCTCAGTGTTTTGTATTGCAAATTGAAATTTGAAGGCTCCAAAATTAATTCCTGTTTGCATCGCTCAATATTTTCTCAGTTCAGTGAAATTTAAGGTAAACATTTTAACCTAGCACAAAAGTTGTAGAGAGTGGCCACAATTTGGGGGTTTTATTTGGTTTGTATGCTCTATTTGAATGTTGCTTTATAATGACTTCATAATCCCTTTATAACTGCTTCACAATACTTGACAGGGACTTGACAAATAACATGACGTGTGCCTTAGAGGTCATGACGCATTTCATTTTGAGAGTTTGGTCCAATACAATACTGCAAAAACTGTGATGCATGTATTGTGATACTGCAACAAATGTGACCTCTTAGGCACACATCATGTCATTAGTTTTGTCTATGTAAAATTTTATAACATCTTGTATACCAGTTATGAAGGGATTATGAAGCTATTGTACAGCAACATTCACATAAAACACTGCCAAATCATTTTTGTTTTTGTTTTATCTGTGCATTTAACTAAATATGTTTAAGTACCCTTAAGTTCCTAAGAGGTGCTGCTACATGTTATCTCATGGTTTAGATTTCCGAACACTTTTGTTTTTGGTAATTCTGAGTAACCTAAATATAAGCACAATTGTGCTTTTGTTGCACTGTGGACAGTGTGATGTAACAAAAGTTTGTAGACATAATAAATATGGATTAAACATTTGCTTTGTTGATGGTGGATATGAAGCAGAAAAGCTTTCTAATGCTTTACTGTTGTTAGGTAGACAATGTTGAAATTTTGCATAATTTATAGCAAGCGTTCAATGATTATTGATATTTTGGGGCGGTGCAGTGGCTCTGTGGCTAAGGATCTGCACCTGTGACTGGAAGGTCATTGGTTTGTATCCCGCAACCGCCAGAGGAATCCTACTTTGTTGGGCCCCTGAGCAAGGCCCTTACCCCCAACTGCTTCAGAGGCACCATATAATTGACTGACCCTACACTCTGACCCCAAGCTTCTCTCCTTGTCTGTGTCTCTCATGGAAAGCAAGTTTGGATATGCAAAAAGACAAATTCCTAATACAAGAAATTGTATATGGCCAATAAAGTGGCCTTATCTTATCTCTTATTTCATGACTGCACTTTATGTAAAATTCCCGACAGACTGTGAGGATTGTGTCAGATTATTAAATTGAATCTTACAGGATTCAGTGACTGAAAATGGTTCTCATTAAACCTTTAACATCACATGCAGCAAGACAGTGTATATTTTCAGTAGAAGCTCTCGAACGTAGGTAATCTAGTGATATTGATAGACGAGGGATATTTGAATTAGATTTCCCGCTCTGTCTCAACTGTGTATATAACAGTTTAAATGTGAAGGTAAAGAAACAGGGTGACATTTAGACTGGCACAGTCTTGTGCCTCAGATTTTAGTTTGCCACATTGCTAGAAAAAACTTTTCACCTTTTCAAGATAAAAACTGAATTAATTCAGCTGCGTGTCTCCATTGGTTTGTAAGGTTTGTTGTTTATCAGAGAGAAAATGAGTAGTAATGAGTCAACAGTATGTTAAGAAACATTTCCAAGAAATACTCAATTTTTTCATTTTGTATTTTAAAAACATTCTGCCATTTTAAAGTGAGAAGTTGAGCTTGAAAATGAGCTTCTACATTAAATAGACATCATAAAGGTGCATTTAAGCTTTAAATATATCTTTTTGTGTTAATTACATCAAAATGTACAAAGTTTTAATGTGCTAGAATTTTTTTAATTATGCTGGTTTTCATTACATTCATTATAAGTACCTCACAAGACCCTTTCTTGTGAGTGGGTGAGCCTTATCCATTATTAAGCAATGGTTCTTTTGTAGGTTGGCATTATTAAACATTTAAATTTATTAAACTTTAAGAAAACCTTAAAATTATTTTTGTTTTTTGTAATGCTTTATAATGAAAATGCAAGAATTCTGCAACAAGCATTTGTGAGACTTAAGAAACTTCCTGGAGACAATCTTCTATGATCAGTCAGACAATTGGAGTGGAGAATCATGTTAATTACTAGCAGCTGCAGAACTTTTACTAATTCCATCAAACAGTGAAAATAGTCTGATTGCAGAAACCACCAGCCTGACTGTTCATGTGTTTTTCCTGGCTTTGTTTTTTTTTCTTCCTTTATAAAGTAAGCAGGAGTCTGGCATTAGCATTCTACTGGCATAACAACTATTGGACTTGAAGTTAATCGGTTTTAAGTGGTTTTAACATTGACACTCCTGTGCCGCTTATCAAGATGGTGTGCAAGTGAAGAAACTTGGAAATTAAAATTACATGTTTATTTCACTATGCCTCACTATGCTTTACAATTTCATGTGATCCCAAGGATGTAAAAAAAATACTAGTGTTGCGTATGTTTCTGCATGGAAATCATTATTAAGACATTGTTTTTAGTTTCTGCAGGTTCTGAGAAGTTACATTTTGTAGCACGGTATTGTTTATAGATGAGTAAATTGCAGATTTAAATATTTCTGGACCTTTTGACATCATTCGTTTTTTCATCTTTCTTAAACATCTAGAGAAAACCTGCCCCTTGGGTTTTAGTCCTTTATATTATCATTCTGAAAGACATTTGTTGCACGGGCTCTTTTGGAAAGGATTTTGCATACTTTTACGATGGAGCAAAATGCTAGAAGGCATATAAGCCGGGGGGGGCTCCAGATTGAGTCTGTAGGAGGAGATGGTTGTTTTCTGTTTGCTGTATAAAATCCTTGTCATTGATTTTTTTATGGGATTTGTGGGCAGAGTAAGGCGATGCTATGCTGAAGGAGATTTAAAATGTTTAAAGGGGTTTCTAGGATTTGACAGGATTAGCGGTGGGTTTAGTGGTTATGTAAAATACAGTGGGGTTTGTAATTTCTTAGGATTAATACTCCATTCTCAATGGTCGTGGCCACCTGGGCAGGCTGAAGGCTGCTATCTCTGACCTCGAAATACATGCATGTCTGAGAATGGAAGCGATTGGACAGAAAATATAATAATTTACAAAGGCCTTTGTTTTTGTGATGCAATGAGCTTGACGTTGCAGCTTGCTGAGTAGGTTCTCCCACTCGGGTGTGGTTCAGATGGAATAGAGGAGCCTTGCCCAGGCAAGCTTCGTCTCCAGACTCCTTCAGGGAGAAAATGTTCTGCACCACTTTCTATGGAGCTCCGTCCGAGGAGCTATCGGACTACAGCTATAAATCCAGTGGGTGTCTTGCCCCCCTGCTCTGCCTGGTGCTTCCCAAAGATGAACTGTACCTGCCTCTTTCCTCTTCGGTTTCCAAGCTCTCAGTTAGTCGTGGAGAAAGTGCCTGTGTAATGATGGGAAGAATACTCTTAGATGTACACATGGGAGCTATGGAAGATGGTAATATGAACTACATTAAACATGCGTGCCTGACATCTTGCCATAAAGAAAGAAAAGCAAAACGTGGAGGTGGGTGTGCAGTGAGCTCGTGACATTTATCTAACCGTTTAGTGTGCTGATTTCAGGTTCCTAGCTAACATCAAAGAGTCATGGCACAACTTGCCATACAGGTCGGTTTATTGTGTGGCTTGATCATATTTTTGACTTGAAGTCTGCAATCTGGAATTCCATGCTGAAAGGTGTTAACACAACAAATGAGTATTGGAACCTCTAGCATTTGTTTTTAATGCCATTCAGGAATTGTTGCTTCCTTACAACAGGGTAGAATATTTTTCCAAATGCAAAATTGTGTACTTTTCTTTCACTTTTGCCGTGAATAGCTGAGAATGTTTGCCCATGTTCCCAGTCTTGTGACAAGGCATTCTTTTCTCAATGACTTGCTTTTTGGTCTGTGTTCTAGAAAGGTGCAGCTATGTATAGTGTAACATAGGCTACCGTGCGCTAAGCTCTCCTGACTTCTTGACCTCCACCATGAAGGAAATAACACTGAGCTTTGTTTACCCTTCCGCACAGAAACTGTATCTGTAGTTAGAATGACTTTTTGTAAGTAGAGTAGGTGATGTTGTAGGTGTGGGGTAAGAAAGTATATAAAAAGGTCAAGGTGGTGATGAACATTTAACAGACTTTTTTTTAATGAGCTACTTTGTGTCTGTATCTGATGGTATGTTTTTCTTTCCGTTTTTAGGACCTGCTCTGCCAATGGCTACAGTTGATATAAAAAATCCAGAAATTACAAATGTGCGATACAGTAATTCTCAAGTCAATAACATCATGCACTCCAATATGATTAAGAAAAAGGATAAAGCGGGGAAGAGGAAGAAACTGACAAAGGCAGACATTGGAACCCCCAGTAACTTTCAGTAAGTTAATTTCAGTAACTTGTTTTTTGTATGCGTTTTCTATAATTCATCTTGCGATGATCATAAGGTTTCTTCTCACTAAAACCTGACTGTTCCACTTTTTGTCCTGTTGGATCTGCAGTGCCTTGCAAATGTATTCATCCCTAGTTGTCCTTTGCTTGAAATCCTACATAGTTGAGTGATTGCTGGAAATTCACTTCTTGACTGAAATACCTTACAGAGACAGTTGCATTTTGTTGCACACAGACTGAAGCTACTCAGTTACTTGCCTTGTTAAGGTAATTTTGTATACCTAAGTTAATTTAGGTTTGCCACAGTGAAGGGTCTGAATACTCATGCAGGTATGACTTTATCAATTTTTTTATATCTACTTTGATGTGTTTTGAATGTGTGATGTAGGTTGTGTTTATGACAGACATTAATTGCTTCTTGAAAGTGTGTTGACTGCAAACTTTAAAGCAACTAAATGTGAAAAGTGCAGTGATCGGGATACTCTTGCAAGGCACCGGAATCATGTTAATTTTAAGCATGATGTCATGAGGACCATGCTTGTCAGTAGGTTCAGACACTGCATTTTACTTCCAAATGTCTACAGGTATTAAAGCAAACCTATCTCATGATTTCCCCAGTATGCAGTGTTTTTGGCCAAATGTTTGTTGAATATTACTATATCCATAGTTATTTATATATAACTCATTCATTTCAGGCACATTGGACATGTTGGCTGGGATCCAAATACAGGCTTTGATGTGAGTAAAACTGACTTTTGGTTATACAGTCTGGAGACCGAGATGGCCAATGCAAAATGTTGATTTTGTGGTCAATTAATCATTTCTGGATTTCAATGTTCATTTGGGGTTATTGTCTTACTGGAAGGTCCATCTGAGGAGAAGTTTAGGGTTTCCTAGCAAAGGTAACCAGGTTTTTGGCTGAAATGTCCTGGTATACCAGTGCCTTGCTATACACAAATTTACCTTACATGGTTTTCAGTATCCACACAGAATTTTCTGTACACTAATCCATGACCTGCAATGTGTGATGGCTCTTCTCTCCATAATGTTCTGTTAGGTTACATTATTGCATCGGCCTTTGATGATTATTAATATTTTGCAGAGCAGTGTTAGTGATGGTAATTTCCTAAATAAAAGTGATAGTTAAATAATATAATAATGAAATAAATAAAGTGGCTCCTAAGCAAATGAGAAAATATACCAGTGTTGATGGCCTTATCCAGTCTAGACAAGAGATGAGCTTAAATGAAAAAAAAAATAGTTTGATAAGTTGCATGAAGGACTGAGTAACAGTACTGTTCGTCTTTTGTTTTCTGTAATTGAATATACAATTTTTACAATAAAAAGTTAGGAAGTGATAAGAGCAAGTGTAAGAAGTGAAATGGAAATTGATTTGTTCAATGTCATTTATTGTTCAAGTGTACTATAGTTTATGAAAATTTTATTTCTCCACATAACTATCTCATAATACATTTAAACACAACATAATTGTATGGAAAAAAGTGTTTTAATTCTGTTGTAAAATATACATCACAATTAAGGTTGCCAGACATACAGATATGCAAGAAAACTACCTCAACTGGTTTAAGTCCAGTTACACTCGCTTCGAATGAACTGGAGACCTTTAAATGTATTTTAATGGGAATTTAGTGTCATTTTTACAAGTTTTTACCTGTGAGCAGAAGTGTTGAAACCAGTTGCCTTTCTAAAGAATAGAAAGAAAAGGGATAAGTATATTTTATCGATAGATTAATTGATGTCTTGCAATGGAAATAGATGAACTGTTCAACAATTCATACAGTATCATTGTGCGATTCAAATACAACTTCTTGCCTAAATATATGCTGATTGTGTTGTTCCAAGCACCAGGTATTCAGTGTGCAGTAATACTTTTAAATCTGAAATGAGTTATTATCGGGCTTTAGCAATTAACACAATGGGAGAGGAAACTGGCCAAATGTCTAATAATGTAAAGCAATTATCCCAAAAACATGATTGCAGTCTACCAAGAAAAATATTACATTCCTAACTTCATCTTGATGTATGTTTTACGTTAGCAAATATTTTTTTTATGTCTACGTCAGTTGCTAATTTCTTGCAAGTGACCTTAGTGCCATTTTCTGTTTGCCCTGTCACTGTTTCACAGAAGCCGCCCTGTTTAATAACATAACTGAATAATTTTGGTGGTTATGCAATTTAAAGATTTAAAAACATCTAATCTCCACATTAGTTTAGGAAAAAATGAATGTAAAATGATGTCCATCTTGAAGAGGATTAAGCTATTTTTAGTCCAGTGAATTTATTTGTCATACAATGTAATATTTAAAAAAATATCATGGCAGTCATTTTTTGTGCTTTTGCTTTTGGTTTCCATGTTTGTAATTGTTGCAGGGACACAAACAGATCACAAGGTATAGCAAGCTTGTTCCATTTCAGTGTGTCAAGATATTAAAGGTTTTGTAGATAAGAGTGTTTGTACCGATATTCCTGTTCAATTTTCTTATGTAGTAATGCTTCTGTATCAGCTTTAATTTAATTGCACAAATTTAAGTGTTTCACATAGTATAGTGAATATCATTGAAACATAAAACAAATTTGCAAAGTTATCAGAAGAACAACTTTTTTTTTTACAAGTGAACTTTTATTTTATTGAACAGACATGACGTGGGTAAATTCATCATATTGATTAACATTTATCGTCAATGGGACTGATTGTCTTCTGTTATCCTGCTCCTGTTAGCCTGTTTCAGTCATAGGCTAGACTGTGTTATTGGCCACTGTTGGAAGCAGTACAAGTTGCACATATGGGATTCATGCTGTGCACTAGGTTGCAGGGGCTGTTTTGTGGGACTCTGTCCCATTCCCCTTGTAGAGTCTGGATAAGCATATGCCTGTTCACTGGTCTCTGAGTCCAGGATAGGCGCATACGGCATTCTCAACGGGAAAAAGTTCCATTCTTATCCCGCAAGGAGCTTGACATTACAGTAAAGGGGAGATAATGATTGTCGTTCAGCTATAATCCCACAGATGGTAGCTTCACAGTAGCTGAGGATACGTGTTATCTTTCCGAAGTGTGGTCACAATGTGATGCCCCTGCAGGAATGTCAACAAGTAAGGTGCCAGGAATATAGAATTGTGCAGTCAGGTTGCTATCAATCACTATAAATGGAGTACTGCAGCCACTTGTTGCTAAAGCAAAGACCACTTGAATATACCTTTCTGTCTGAGCAGGGTGTCATGACCTCAGGTCTCAGTCAATAATATCGCATCATGGCAACAATGTCCTGCCAGATTAGAAATTGCTCACTATGAACACCTAAGACTGAGTGACAGTGTGCTGACTAAATCCATATTCAATTTAGTTTATTTTTATATAGAGCCTTTCACAACAAGGTTGCTCCAAGGCGCTTAACAATACAATTGACGATACATTTTGTCAATACAGAAGACCAGAAGACAACGGAGGAGAGGAACCAAACTCCTTAGTAAGGAGAGAAAAAACCTCTAGGGGTCCAAGGTCAGCTGGTTGCCCAACCCCTTCGGGCATGCTAACATTATATAATTTAAAAAAGGAAACGATGAGGGTATTCATCCATCCAGCCATCATGTCTTATGTGTGCAGATCTCTGTAGACCAGTAAATTCCTCCTCCTCCTATATTCCAGTATACCAATATGGTACAAAGCTGTTCTACTGATATGTGAAGCATATTGGTTTCTTTATGCATTTTTATTTCTTGTTTTTCACTGGGCTTGACTTTCAACAGGTTAAATCAACTCATTACTTGTGCTCCAGTCAGCTCAGTTACTGATGAGGTTTAGTACTTATGCAACAAGGTTACTTGCATATCATGGTCAGTCATGAATAATCAGTTACCCTAATGCTAAAAACATTTAATCAATATTTGATTGATTATAGTCTGTGTACATATTTTTAAAATGCATGCTTAAATAGTCAAATTTATTTTGATGCTCAGAGTGTATATGTAAGTAATGTTTTGTGAGGTTCCTGATACAAATTATTTTTATTTAGATTTCTTCAGTGGTTTAATTTCATTAACTGAAAATGCATCGATCATTTCAGGACTGCGGGTGCAATCAACATTCATAATTTTGAGGATGTTTTTATTTTGTAAAAATATTTTGCTCATACAAATATTCAGAACAGCTTGAGAGGTCTCTGCTAGAGGCATTCCCTTGTCATAGTTGGGAGTGTTTAGAATCATTTTTAATTTCTTAAACATTTCTTAATTTTGAATGCCCATTTCATTTAATGGTCTTAATGACTTCAGAAATATTATATAGCTCTTAAAGATCCCCAACTGAAAGGCCCCTTGTAGAATATGCTGTGGACATTGATTTTCCTATATAATAACTTGTATATACTGTACATGAAAGCTGTCATATACTTGAATGAAGGAGCACAAAATAAGATGTCATCAGAGCACATTCTTTTGCCTGACATGTGGCAATCATGTTAGATATTGGTAATGTTGTGTTGCAGTGTGCAGACATTTGTATTGTGGGGAAAAGGTATTTGAAAGCAGTACAGATAGTAAACCAAAGTCAGTTTTAGCTCCCTTAATTACTGAGGAAGAGGGAATACATCTAACTGAATAATACTGTTGAAAGTTTACAGCATCAAATTTAAAACTTTATTTTAATGTTAAATGTAAACTGCTTGCTTTTAAAATGCCATAGTCCCAAAACTGATTGCTTCTATAATCCTGAAGGTTTTCAGAGCTTTAGGTGAAAATGTAGATCTTGATTTTACAGGGGTTTCATTACTATTTAACCAGGGATTTGTATTTATATATATATATTAGTTTTTTAATTGAATATAATATATTGTAATTAAAAATAGTTTATTATTTCAGAAATCCTCTGTTTACACTTGTAATCTAATGTATACATCTCACCTGCTTTTAAACATTGAGCTTTTAGTCTTTTCCTAAGAACACCACAAGGTGACAGGCTTGTTCTATCTTCAGACTCTGCTAATGTAGGCCTCAGTGAATTAAACATATTTAGAGAACAGGAAGTGTTTCTGTGTGCACTACAGTTAATGGAATAATCCTTCAGTAGAGCAGCTTTTGAACCCAATCCAGACTTTGAGTATTCCATTTCTTTAGTTTTAATTTAGTTAGAGGCATTAATGAGATTAGCTTGCACTCATATAGACCATATTTTGCTGTATAGAGGGAGTTCATTTATTTTCATACGGAAGGTTTCTTTTCACCACACTGTAATGGCACCATCTGATTCCCTGTTCTTATTTCTATTTAACTCATAGAGTTAAAAGATGATCAGGGTAATATTTTTTTTTCTTGTCTGCAGCTCAATAACCTAGACCCAGAACTGAAGAACCTTTTTGATTTGTGTGGAATCTCAGAGGCACAGCTGAAAGACAAAGAAACATCCAAAGTCATTTATGACTTCATTGAGAAAAAAGGGGGGGTGGAGGCTGTCAAAAATGAGCTGCGCAGACAAGGTGAGTTGTTTTGCAGATCTTTTCAGCAATGTCCACTTATATTCACTTTTGTACTGTGAATAAGCATTTATCCAAAGAGTTAATAAATGAAAGGTAATGTGAAATGCCTTTAGTTCACATCCATGTTCCAGCTTCTCGAGGAAATAAAAAAATTGTGCACTAAAACTATCACCTTGCAAAGTGTATTGATATCCTCAAACACCACCATTTAAGAATTAAGTATTTCCTTATAAATCTCTAGGGAAACAACTTCATATTTTAACCAGGACATAAAACACTCTATGGGTTTTGTAAGTATAGCAATTGTGGAAATTCCAGCCTGTATACTAATCCATTAAATCTGTTCTGTAGGTCCACCAAGGTGGTGTGGTAGGTATAACAGTGCAGAGCATGAAAGGTGCATGCTTGGCACTGTTCTGTTTTCTGATCAGTGCTCTAATAGATTCTGAGAGAGAAACTATTATGCTCACGGTACTTTCTTTTTGAAAAATCTTGGCCTGGCGATGTCATTGACAGAATCCTGTCGCCACACATTCCTATATCAAAGAAACAAAGTAAAAAAAAAAAGACCAATAATATAATTTGCTTGAGTACTGTACACTACTGTACCACTGCATTTTATTTGGTAGACGTTTTTAATGTGCATGTCTCTGATTGGTGTGGGATGCCAATTTGAGGTGATGTGATTGCTGTGTGCTGTGTTACTTTGTGTTCGGTCTACAGTGAATTGGCACTGTTGACATCTTAAGTGCTTTGATTTCCCCAGCTCTGTTTTTATGCAGGAGCTATTTTACTCACTGAAAAATGATGTTTTTGTTGTTGAAGTTCATTTTGGAAATGCCAAAACAGCATGTTACAGTATGTGTGTGGTGGGAAAAGGGTATGTTTTCAGAGATGTCTCTGGGAGTGGTGGCTTGGTCTGTATGCCTGAGTGACTGGAGAGTCATGGGTTCATACAGTATCCTTGGAAGGAACTCTACTTCTGCTCCATTGAGCAGGACAAATTCAATAGCTCTGGTAAATACAACCTTAGCAATGGGTAACAAAATACTCAGATGGAGAGACAACAGTAGCATTTCAGTTGTTTTGACAAAAGCAACAGCCAAATAATTATCCAACTTTGGCTTTTTTTTTAATAAATTGATTTTCATCACTAAGTACAAATATGTGACAAAATGTAGTATCAAAAAAGCACTGTATCCATTCAAAATATTTTGTGTTTTCCTGATTCAAAGTACAGTGAGCTCACACAAACTTCTAAAACAACATTGCAGTTTATACACAAAATGCATCGCTACTTATCCAGGTTTAGAGGGAGCTCTCCAAAGCCCTCTCTTTATCCAATGAGATGTGCCTCTTGATTTGTGCTGTACAATGGATCCATTCAGTCTGTTACACTGTTACATCTACAGCAGGGTTTTATGAGAGCATGATACCTGAAAATATGATTTTAAACTAAAGGTGAGCTTGTATCAAAGGTGAGATATTTAAAAAATATTACACAGCTGTACTTCAGCCTATAACATTGAATATCCTATTAAACATATGTTGTTTCATGTTATATAGAGTATCATAATCATCATTGTCAACAATGAATGGAGAAATGGTTGTTCGCTCACCATAAGGGAGTCAGTGACATTGTCATGATTGTAATTTGTACTCCATTATAGTAATGCTGCAAACAGCTAGTCACGTGTTTTCTATCATGGAGACTTGAAAGTCTCTACTTATCATTTTAAATTAAGTGCTGTTACCTAAGTTAATCAAATAGGTGTTGTTGATACTTAATCTTTAGTTGAGAAAGAAAATAAATACCATATATTATTGATTTGCATAACCAGTAGAAGGCAAACACAAAATTGCTGTAATCCAGAACCTTTCACCTGCTTCACTATTACCATTTCCCTTGTTTCCTCTTGTGCTCAGTCTTCCAACAGCATGTTCACTGTGAAGCCTTTACCGATACCTTCAGTTTTGTTACATTTCCAGTTTCTAGTCACTAACTTTACTATTTGTGATTGGGATGGTCTTTCTGGCAGAAAGATTGAGTGTGCACCAGAATCAAATGTTTGTTTCATAAACTTTTTATCATCAGCCAAATGTATGCAAAGGGATCCAGCACCAGTGTGCTTAGTTGTTTTTTAGAAGAGCTCCAGGTCTTCTTCCCCGGCAATTTGCAAGCAGTCTAAAACACATTCTGACTGTTCCAGTGTTTTCCTTTTATCTCACTGAATTATTCCAGACAGCTTGCTCTTCTGGTGTTATTGTACTGTACAGTAGGGTGAACTGCATTTTTAGTATTTTATTTTCTAAAAGAAACTTGTGTTGGGGACAAAGCAATACATTGTAAAGAAAAATATTGAATTAAAGGAGTCACAGCACCACCTAGTGAGGATGTGTGGCATAACTTTTTCTACTTTTTTATTGCCAGAACACTCATCAACAATGTGAACACTGCACTGATAAAGGATACATCACTGTCATAATCTCCTGTTAAAACTCAACTGTCTTAGTCATTTTTACAGATATAATGCTAATTACTAATGCAGATGAAACATTTTATGCTGTTGCCCAGGACTCACCATAGCTAAGAATGAGCCTTTTATTTTAAATTCCTGTATTTTGAAAATTGTAGCACACACCAGCAAACACTTCATAGATTTTCTTGAGTTCTGCACACAAGTGTGGAGGCCATTTTAAATTGAACAATTGCACCATATAATTGGGAAGTCTTTACACTCCTTGGACTAACACTCTCTCACAGACAGTAGGGGAGCAAGACGCAGGTGTGTAGCAATACCAAAACCAAAAAGGTTCCTATTAAATTCCAGTAAAAAAGACATTAGAATTAGGAGAGAATTTTGTAGGTCCAAAAGATCTAAAGTGCATGTCTTGTCTCTTTATCTGAACAAAATAGTGGAATGTGGAGGGTTTGTTAGTATCATACTATCTTACAGTAAACATGCCAATTGTAAGAAAACAGGTAAAGTTGTGTTCTTAACACAGGTGTTCATTTTGAAGATAGTGCACATTGGAACATTAGAAAGTACACCTTGTATGTTCTTTTTGTTATTTGTTATGCTTATCAGGAGAGGAGTGAACTATTTCTGTAATCTACAGAGAGATTTAAGTTTTCGTCCAGTTTGTGGTTTGAACCATGGGCTTTCTCTCTCTTATCCAGCTCCTCCTCCTCCTCCTTCCAGAGGTGGGCCCCCTCCACCGCCGCCCCCTCCTCACAGTTCAGGACCCCCTCCGCCACCCCCTGCCAGGGGGCGGGGGGCACCCCCTCCCCCACCCCCCTCCAGAGCACCCACAGCTGCTCCTCCACCCCCTCCTCCTTCCAGACCTGGGATAGGGGCTCCACCACCACCTCCACCGCCAACCAGGAACCACCTGCCACCCCCGCCCCCGCCCTCACACGCCTCCTTGGCCCCGCCAGCGCCTCCCCCTCCCCCCCCTCCACCGTCCTCTGCTCCAGCGGGCCTGGGCTCGGGCGTACCCCCTCCACCACCCCCTCCGCCACCTCTCCCGGGCCCCCCGCCTCCCCCTGCTCCAGCCATGGATAGTGAGCCACTTGAGTCTCCCCTGGGAGGAAAATCTGCGCTCCTGGATCAGATCAGAGAGGGGACTCAGCTGAAGAAGGTGGAACAGAACAACAAGCCCGCGTCCAACACAGGAAGAGACGCACTCCTAGACCAGATACGGCAGGGCATTCAGCTAAAGACGGTAAGTATCTGCCCATCTCGCGTTCTGCAGTTTTGTCCTCTAGGTATTTAATAAGTAAGACATTCATTGGGTTCATAGGAACATAAGGTTTGAAAATGAGAGGAGGGCTTTGTGTCCACCTTGCTTGTTTGAGTAGGTAAGTGATCCAAGGATCTCAACAGCTATGTCTTCACAGATGTCATGACTGACTTCGGCAAGTTACATAGTTTTAATTAGAGAATGGGCAGTATATTTGATTTGTCCATAGTGGTGGTGATGTAGGGATCTTTGGTTTAGTAACTGCCTTCTCCTGAATTGCATTCTTTCACTTCAGGCAGCTGGTATTGGATCTGAATTTTCACATCCGCTTGATCTGGTACACTTTGAATTGTGGTACACTTCTATGCAAAAGTATTCAACTTTTGTGTCCCTTATTTATCAAATTACAAAATGATCCATGCACATGTTTTAAAAACTCTAATGAAAAATGTATGCAACGACCACGGGCATCAGTAGGGAGTGGAGCAGGCATGGGACTCGGAATGGGGTTGAACAACACATTTATTTACTTGAACCAGGGAAAGGTACACACACAGGGACAGGGGTTACAGCGCTGCACCTTCACTAACACACACACACGAAGGGAAGGGGCTGTCTCCCACTCAGTCCTACTATATACAGTCCCATAGTCGCCCCCCCCCCCCCCCCAGGTGCTGTTCTCAGCCCACCTTGCGTGCACATGGCTAAAGTGCCACGTGTGGCGCTACAATGCCCCTGCCTGAAGAGTCAAGCGTCCCGCCGACCCCAAACTGTCCATCTTTCAATGAGGGATCACAAGGACAGTTTGTGAGGGCAGTATTGGTAGCAAACAGGAGCAGAGTTGTGAGTTGCTGTGCTTGTTTTCCATCTGAGTGGTAGGTATTTATATGGAAATCCGTTTCCTTTATCTAAAAAGGACTAGCAGATTTAAATAATTTCTGGGTCGGTGCTCAGGTGTTCTTGTATATTTATCAAACTCACGGATAGTTTCACACAGGTGCTGCTTCTTTCAGAAGGAGCTGAAGCCTTACAATTAAAGGGATTTGTAACTCTAAAAGCTTTATTTATCCTTCAGTCAAAAAGAAGAGGCAAAAGCAAACTGGGTATTGGTCCGAAATGTTTTTTAGCAATTGTGCAATAATTACTTTTCGGGTATGGTTTGCTTTAGTGTGCAATTGAAATGAAATCACACTGCGTAAGGAGTTCCTGGCACCTCCCTTCGCCCACACAGGTTCCAACTGAGTTGCAGTGTTCTGTCATGACGGGACTCACTTCACATCCAATCCCTCTTCTTTTGCTTATTTCCGTGTTTGAATGCACATATAAGAAGACCCATTTTAAATCCTGAACACTTCCCACCACTGTAATTTAAAACTTATTTTTACCTTACAGGTATCAGATGGACCTGACTCAGCCCCACCGACACCAGCACCTACTTCTGGGATAGTAGGGGCACTAATGGAGGTGATGCAGAAGAGGAGTAAAGCCATTCACTCTTCCGGTAGGTGTTGTAGTATTTTGATAGTGTACGGTTTTGATCTACTGATGCTTGTTCTCTGATACTGTGTAGTTGAACGAGCTGAATTTGGAAAACAAGTGGAAATGCAAGGCTACTTGTACTGCCAATGTAATTAACTGCTATGTGTTTAGTTTCCTGGCTTTGTTACCTTCACCATAGCAGCATCCTTTCCTAGATGCAACATTTTGTCTTTGCACATCCATGTTTTTAGAAAGGTCTGCTTATAATATACTCCAATGTTATTTATACACACTGTTCCAGAAATATAAAGCACCAGACAGATGGCAGACATATAAAAAGAGAAAAACAAAAATGCTCCTCAGTCCGAAGTCCTAATCTAGTAAAATAGAGAAACAATAAATTCTGTTAAAAGGTTTTGTGAGGTATTATAGTATAAAGTAATGAAGTAGCAATGTAAGATACTGATGGATTAATATTTCAAGCATGGTCTAACTGCATATCCTAGAGATAGGGGACCTTTAAAGTTGTTTCATGTAGTATGTGTTGAGTAAGTTGTTTATATGGGGGATGTGTTGCACCACATTTATACCATGAAACTGAGAAAGCTTGGCAGGGACCTAGAATGACTCATGATTCAAGAACGAAAATAGTTCCATATAACTGAAAGACAGCTGACAAGCCAGGAATAAAACTGAACCATTTCATGTATTTTAAAAATCTTATACACAACTCCTTCAAGAATATTGCTGTATTTTTTACATTTATGGACAAAAATAGCCATTTTTAAGATTGTATTTAAACCACTAGAAAAAGTGTTGAGTTTATGTATGTGAAATTACTTGATATGTGTGAATTTGTGAATCTCCTTCTTAGGTATTGAATTCCTTTAGAAACTCTTTAATGTTCTCCTAATTCCAATGTATTAATTACAACACCCAATACAAAAAATCCCACAGAAAAAGGAACGATCACAAAACAGAAAGAGAATTCTGATGATGGAAATCACTCTTTTTCGTCATCACACAGTAACAGCCTTTGCAAAAGAATTCCAGCAAACACACTTGAAATAATTAGATTTTTCTAACATTAACTTCGTGTTTAATGTGTATTGGGGAAACAAGAATGCATTTTGCAACTGGCAGGAATTGTCACATTGACCTTCTAGTGCTAATGTGTGCTTGGCAACATTGTCTAATTGAACCCACTGATGATTCCTGAGGTATGACCTTACAGACTTGGACGAACGCCTGTCTAAGTTCCTGCAGTGTCTGGACCTATTGAGGCATCATTCTGTCTCATAGATCTCTGCCCCACAGTGCATGAGCAGTATGTCATTGGCTTTTGGAGCATTTGGACATTGTTTTGTGGCAACCTGAGCAATCCAGGGTGCATGGGCTTCACATTGTGATTCATTAATTTTTTGGCTCCTATCTTTATCCAGGGTAATTTAGAGGGTAAACAAGCAAAATTTCTTTATACATAGAAAAATGTGGAAGCACCTGAAATTGTAGAAGAAACTACAATGTCATAGACATGCACACAAAAAAAGTAATATCAGGGATTCATAGTGGAATGGAGTTAAGCTCTTAAAAGGTAGAGCAAATTGTATGATCTGTGAACATAGTCTGAAAAGTTTTGATGAGATGAGGTATGAGGGAAAGCATGACCAGTCAACCAACAGTAATAGAATGAGCGGACACATTGAGGAGACTGGAGTTTGGGGGATTAAGAAACCTTAAGGAGATAGTCTTTGAACAGCAGGACAGAGGAATAGGACAAAGTAAGGGAGTTGTTGGTCAGTTGTAAGGATGTGAGACTATAGGACAAACGCCAGAGATTTGTATGAGGAATAAAGGATGGATTGTAGGAAGACGAGCTAGAGAGAACTATTCCCAGGTTCGAAGTTGAAAAGAACAAAGGTGTTCTTATTTAAAATTGTTTCAGTATTTATGTATTATAAATGTTATCTTAAATAGATCTTGATTGCTTACATTTTTCCATGATCTCAGAAGGGCAAGACAAACTGATTTATTAGCTTGTTTGAACACATAATACAGTTAGTTGACTTGGTTTTCTGGGATGGCAGTAGATCGAATAATTTTGGAATAAATAGAACAGCAGAGCAGATATTTAATGAGCAACAAGTTTCGGGAATCGGTCATGATCGGTGACTGTCACAGTCTCCTCAATGCAGAGTTTAGAGGTGTAGATAAAATATAACAATAACGATGGCACAGCCACAATTGCAAAGACGCGCAATGGTGTTTATTACGAGGAATTGTGTTCTCAAAGTCCACCCCCCAAAAAACTAAATGAAAACCAAAAACTAACCATGGAAAAAAAGAAAACGACGCAAAGCTATAGTATAATAATATATACATTAATTGCTATAAAAAATAGATTGTTGTAGGCAGTTCCTATTCTACCCCACAACCCACCTTCTCCTATATCCCCTCCTATCTTGAAGAGCTCCTTTTCTAGGCTAAACTCCTCCCCCTAGAATATTCCACTATAAAGCAAAAAATAATTTTACAAAATAATCAGAATTCTGATATACATATTTCTTCATTAAGTACACAATTAAACAATGAACATAGTATTATGAAAAATAAATTATCATATCCCTTTTGTGTACATAACTGTTGTTTAAGAAAATACTACCCTCTTTTAATGGTATCTTCTTACAAATCAATCCCCACGCATGCACAATCCTAAAACAGGCACTACTAAGCCAGCCCCTGTTGCCATGCCAAAGTTTTGGTCCTACAGGTTTGTGGGAAAAACTAGCAATGACTAGTTTGTTTACGTTGGAAACCAGTTATCGCCTCTGTTTAGATAGTGAAATGTTTATGTATGTGTTCATATGGATACCTCACAAGTGTCAGGTGATCTGATAACGGAGTCTCCAGTCACACTGACATTACCGATCTTGGAGCTAGCAAACTCCTAAGTAATAGAGCTTATCCTGTGCCCCGAGATAGTGTTTATTGGTTAAGACACTCAGAAACTGCCATTTAGATGTTTATGTGACAAGGAGTTTCGGAAGAGAAAAAGGAGTCTCAAGTAAAGCCAACCTTATGCATCGTTCAACCACCCTTTAATAACTGCAAATATCAGAGAATTGTTTTCTTTCAAGGCAGGGATTGGGAGACGGTTTACATATAGCAGTATAACAATAGCATGGAGTAATATTCATTATTGACCTACTTAAATTTAGAAATAGTAGATTACCAGCCGTCTTGAGATCTCTAACATCTCTAAGCAAGTGCCTCTAGAGATGACAAACTGGGAAGATCACTTGTTGTTTGTTAACACCTTTTTCTGGATGGTAATTTAACCATTAATGAAATATGATCCCGATCCCACGTGACTAAATATTGAGTATAGGTATTCCATGTGTGGTAGGCAAAAGCATTTTCAGCATCCAGTTAAAGTGAATTAAGGTAGTGTCTGTGCCCCCTAATGTTATGGAATATTTTTAATAAAACCTTAAACCTTAAACAAATTAATCTGTTAATGGTGCACTCATTTAATAATATTGGCCTCCAGTTGCCGTGATCGCACCTTTGCTTGCAATATTTCTTCAGAGCAAATCAAAGAAATGGATATTATTATCATCATCATTATTATTGCCATATATCCATGATACTGGAAAAAAGATCTTGCACTTTGTGTGAATTATTGTCCATCTCAATTAAACCTTGAATTAATCATTTCAAGACAACATTCAAAAGGAAAGTTATCAATTCTAGTAGATTAATCTTTTGTCATGTCCTGAACTTTACAACAGTACTTTTAGGAGGAAAAGTCCCCCCCCCCCATTGTATTTTATGTTGATCTAACTGCAGGACTGTTATTAAAGCATTTATTGCTTCAGAGTTTCAAGGGTAAGTGGTTAGGCCAATCACAGTTAAAAAAATTGTGCCTGGATCTATATGGATTAATATCATATATATATATAAAATATGCTGCCTAGTTAGCGGTATAAGAAGATTTAAGTTGAGTGTGTTCAAAAAAGCCAAGATGCAATAGCTGTTATGTAAGATAGAAGACAAAATAGCAGAAGCAGCTTAAACCAGACTCTTAGTAACAGGAATGACCATCCCTTACAGGAGCAAGAGCAAGTAAAACCCTCCCCCCAATACTTTTTTACAGAAAAACTGAAGACACCCTTATCACAGAAAAATGTCATAAAAATTAAATTCGATGTGTAACAAAGGAAGAACTATTCTGTCCATTGACCAAAGTAAACGGATATTTTACTGTCATGGAAGGCCTTGAGCACTATGTACAAGTGGATGGATTGGTTACCAGCCCCCTTTTGTAATTTCTTCACTCCTGCAAAGGTCCTGGTCTTCTGGGTGATTGCTGGACTAAAATCTGGGTAAAAACTCATTACAGCCAAGCACACTAGCAGGCTTGACCTGCTTCCTTCCAAAAGAAGTGTGTCAGGATAGCAGTGACATGTAAAAATAAATGCTCTGGACTTGATGCGGCCTCCAGAAGAGCCCCTTTCCATACTTGGGTCCCCTCTGCCAAATTTGGAATCCACCTTGGTCTTGTTTTTTGCAAAACCCCAACTGGGTTGTCAAATTCTCTTACTTCTGGCAGACTCACAATGTGTGTTTTATTGTACTGGGTGTGAACCTTTATCTTGGTAGCTTTGTTTCAGGCTTTTTAAATTCACTGCATGTTCTTTCTTTATCATTTTGTGTTTCCTTTGTTTATCTGAGAACTTCAGCACTGCTTTTCAGAGCTGCTGCATGGTTAACAATATCTGGGTGTTTGCACCCGTTATGATCACATCTGATCTTTCTAATTTTTAAATTATTGTAACTTTTGTGGTTACAGTGAAAAATATAGCTTTTAAATGCAAAGAATGTTTTTATCTTATGAGGATGTATATGCTGATTGTGTGCTGATTTTTAAATTATGCAGCTTGCATTAAAGTTTCCCTTTAATGCAAGATGCATTAAAGGAAAAGCTCTAATTAAAGTGTCCCCAATTTCTTAGTGTTTTGTGTAATTTGAAGTGATTAAAGATAATCAATATTGTTCTGGAAGATCACTTTTGTAATGGTAAAATATTTATAGACCAGAAGTAAAGTAAAATTTAACATTTAGTATTTACTCTCTTGTCCTTTCTCTAGATGAAGATGAAGATGATGATGAGGAGGAGGATTTTGAAGATGATGATGAATGGGATGACTAGTGTATTTTCACCAGAAATAATTAAGACACTAAATTGATACCATCTTTTTAAATCTTATTAAGATTATAATGTAAATGTTCTACCAATTTGCTGTATATTTTTGTTGCCTTTTGCTTTTTTATTAATCTGTGCAATACCTCATTTAATCTGTAAAGGTTTGTCATATATCTTTCGTAAAGCTACTCCCTATTAACTTGTGCAATTTTACATCAGGAGAGATACACTTGACTTTTAGATTTGAATGTTACTTTTCTTCAGTAAAGTAAGGGAGTTTAAAGGTGTCAAGAAAACTGAAAAAATGCTTCATGTTGTAATTGTTAGTTAATGCAAAATAACACTATTTTCATACCCTACTTTTCTGTACCTTAAAGTTTCTTATCAAAATCCTAGTATAGCACTATTTTTTTTTAAATACAGCTCTTAGAATATTTAGCCCCATCATTTCCAATGTAAAGTTACACAAATGTTGAGGCTCTTATATTTTTGCACGATTAAAAAAAGTAATTCACTACAGTAATACAGTTACGAGCTAATACTGTATTCAGCAATGTGCTTTAAAGACTCCAAGAATTCACTACAAAAGTATACATCATCCTATAAACATTGTATGTCACTTACTGTAGCAATACTCTGGACTTGAGGGTGAGGTTGTTTTTTAATCATGTCACCTTGTATATCTGATTTTGTTTGAGTTTCACGGTTCTTTTTTCTCTTTATTACTGTAGCATTTATAAAAAGAATGTTATTGAGATCAGGTCAGTCTTCATTTAAAAAAATACCATCTTTTATTTAAAAACCTGCAACTTACCATTACATAGTGCTGGTTCATATATTAATGGCTGCAGTAAAAAGGTAATAAATTAATTTACAGTCTTTTGCAAGATATTTCTGAGGGTCTATTGCTTGATATTTGCAACTACTTGCAAGGTAATAATGCCTGTAAAGATTATTGAACCTCTATGTAGTTATGCATACTGTTTTTAACAGTACTGTTGTACATGGCTGACTTTTACAATCTTTTTTTTTTCCTGGGGTTTGTGGTGCATTAGATACCAGAATATTGACATCAAACCTGCAAAATAGGTTGGGAATGGAATAATACTAAATTGTATACTTAAATAAATGTTAATATTTACAGATCATGGCTGTGATTTTCAGTGCTTGTCTTTATTTTAAAATTTGAGAGTGGAGCCACAGCATCCGCTGTGTAACAGTACATTGGAAACCTTTTGTTCATTCTCTCATAATCTAGTTTTGCATTTTATTCAGCATTTTGGCAGATTAAAGAAATAAGCTTGTACTTTAAATCAGGCTAATAATGTCAACTCATCTGTTGTACAGTTCTTGTTCCTGAGTTTTAGATATATTTAATTTTCAAAACTGAAGGTGCCTCATCAGTTAATAAGGAATGAAAAATCTTGTGGGAAAAGCCACCTTTCACCTGTAACAATGTTTTCTATATATTATTGAATTGTTTTCTTCTGTTATTTTCAGGATATTTTTTGGTATAAGTTATTCTGTTTGATAAGAAAATGTAGTTATTGAACATTGGAAATCTAACACTGTTTTAGATATTTAAAAACCAGTTCCCATGTTTTGGGTTTTAGGTTCCCATTAATTCAAGCATGCAGTCCAGAAGCCATTCTGGTGGGTGTCTGTTGGTATGCGTTTTGTCAAGTCTTACAAGTGTGTGACTGCATCTGTTTACAGGTCAGTCATTTGGCGTCACAGCAGTATCTGTCTCGCTTGATCCATTGTAGAAAGTGTTGTAAAAGCATTTACAGTCAAGGTCTGAGTACACCCATTCCATGGCTTACATACCGGTTGCTTTCTGCAAGTACATAATCCTAATTAAACACAAGTTAGAAGCAACCCTTTCTTAGGCATTTTGTGAACACAAGTGGCATTTGTGATACCAATAATAGGAATTTTTTAAAACTTTTTTCTGAACACTCCACTCAAAAATCGCTTTACTATTTATGGGTAATGGGGGCTCCCCTCCCTCACCACCAATGTGTAGCCAGCCACCTGGATGATGTGACAGCAGCCAAAGTCACCACACATCATCTCTCAGTGGGGAGGAGAACAGAGTGATGAAGCCAATGGATAGATAGGGATTATTAGGAAGCCATGGTTGATAAAAGCAGGAGGGAATTTGGAATTCACTGGGCACATACACTATTAAACATGCACACACTCTACTGGGGCCAGTTTTCCCAAATGCCAGTTTATCTACCCTCATCCACAGAAAGGAGCCACACAAACCTGAGAATATTAAAATTCCATGCACATGGCAACCAAGGAACTGAACCCAGGGACCCAGCACTAAGAGAAAGCAATGCTAACCACTGCAGCACCGTGCAGCCCAAGAGGTTGTATCATTTTCACAAAACCAGTATTGTCTGAATAGCAATACTAGATTGGTACTCATCCAATGACACTAGAGAATTATCTGGCATAATGTAAATATAACTTTTAAATATAACTAATTTTAGTCTAGTACTATTGTATAGGAAAATACCCTAGTCCAAAATGTAAGTATATAGAGTGTAACTATAATCTTAAAATAACTGCTAATTCTGGCAAAGTTTTACTGTTTTTAATTGTTGCATTAGTGGTAATGTGGAATACTGTAGGTGGTGAAGAAATGGAGTTGGAACAAAATGTTAAATTCTTACCTTTGTTGAAGTTCTGAAATGTGTACCTACCTGATCAAATCTTTCTTCATAGTTTTTCTGTTTACAATAAGTAAAATGTTACAGTTGGTACCAAATCTCTTCAATGCTAATGATAGAATGTCAGATGACATTACTAATATTAACAATACTAATTGAATGTTCCTAAGCAATTTAGTGACACAGGTAAGGATATTAAGCAGTTCTGGACTATGAGCTGTTCAGATTTAATTCCTTGTCAACAAATATCATGAGATGCTAAGAAATGTGAGTTTCATTCTTCAGTGAAAAACATTAGCTTGAAGAGTCACCTCAACTTGATTATTGTCACAAATGCACCAGTTATTTTGTGTAATGTATGAAATATACTTCAGTGTTCAGTCACAGATCTTGGCGTGTCTCCAGATACTCTGTAGAAATTAACAATATACTATATACTGTTTCAGTCAAACAGGATTGCACATGAAGACTAAATTAAATTCATACTTTCCAAGTAATATGTACCAAAAGCTTTCAAGTAGTATTCTCACTGTCTGAATTGAATCTCAGTAAGACAAGAACCTTTGCAAAAAGTAAATGGATTTTGACTATGATATGGTAATATTTGCATTATTATATATTGATAGAAAAAAGAAACATTTTCTGGAATGAGAATACTATAGTTATAGCTTATGTACTTTCACAAAAAGTTGTCCATTGGTTTTAAGCCCTCTGACCAGCAATACAGCTTGTGCAGTGAGGCATTGCAGCTTGTCAATCACACAAAAGCTCGTTGGGTGCACTTTTACCCAACGAGGTCCAGGTGGAACAATGTTTGATCAGGTCACCTTTAAAAAGGCCTTAATTCAAAATGTAGGCCACTGCAAGAAAAGGGCCACACAAAGTCAGTTTTCTATGCATTCCATAATGCGTCCAGTGTCACCAGAAGCAAGGGAGAGGACCATTGGCATGCTGCAGGCAGGCATGTCGTGCCAGCGTTGCCAGACACTATGGAGTAAGCCACTCTACTGTGTCCCGACTGCAAGAGAAGGTTTCAGCAGACCGGCAGGACAGATAACCGTCCAAGATCCGGTCACCCTCGAGTGACCACACCAGAGCAGGACCAACACATCAGACGGGTCCATCTGAGAGATCGTTTCAGATCTGCCACCCGTACTGCTGCTGAAACTGCCGGCAGACACTATGCCCGCATCGGCAACAGGACTGTGAGGCTCCATGCCTCTGCTCACACCTCGTAGACATCACACCTGACAGGCTTGGGCCAGACAGAGGCTGCAATGGACTTATCAGCAGTGGCATCAGGACCTCTTCATGGATGAGTCACTCTTCAGCCTTTTCCACGCAGACAGGAGGGCCAGAGTGTGGAGGAGTAGGTGTTATGTTTCTTTTTTCCATCAGTATACTTTGATGATACCAAACAATATTATCAGTAATCTTATAAATATGTATTTGTTTAAACAAAATGATGTTAAACACTATCACATTATAGCACTAGTTAAAATATTGTTCCTCGGATGTGTGTGACTAAAGTGTGGCTTCTAGAAGCTGTTACAGTACTACTATTGTATTAGAACACACTTCCTAGCAGAGGGTTATTTCAAGAGCACCAAAACAAAGAAATATGTCCAAAGTACTAGTAAATATGTGACATAAGTTTACTACACTGTAATCTTAACATTTTTTGAGCAACTGAATTCTAGTTAATTACAATTAACTGACAAGAATTAAGTACCCATTAGTGAAAGATTTGCCTTTGAAACGTTTGATTCTTTATTTGGGATCTCTGCTGCTAAAAACATGTTCTGTGTTTGCTTTGAACAGCTGCAAAGTGGATTTAAAAACAGGGAACACTTCCAAAATACACAATCTTATAGGGAATGGATTAGAGCTGAGTTATTCTACCACACATTACAAAACTTTCTAATTTTAATTCAGTTATCTGGGTTGTGCCACAGAGATAACAGTCCTAGGTGTCTGAAGTTTAACCAGTTTTTAACTTTTAGCCCAACATCAAATAACACAAACATGCGAAGATTTGCAAGTGAAAGAAGACCTGTGACCTTGTTCATTTGATATTTAGTAGCTAACTGAGATAGGATTTCATCAAACTTTGACAACATATTGTATACAGTACATGCTTCTTTCATATAGCTTCTTTCTGACTCACACTAGACTTCATGTAAAGTTCATCCTATTCCTCTTGAAAGTCTCAAGATTCCATCAGCCTGCTGAAGAATATCTTGGTAAAGAACACTAAAACTCAGATGAGGTATGAAAGCAGTATATAATGCATAGTTAGTACTGTATTTCAAGGACATTTAGAGCATTAGTCACCTTATTCTGAATAATGCATGAATGTGCAAATTTCATGAAAATGTATTAATAAAGCATTACAATGAAACGAGTTGCCAGGATGCCCAAACTCAGGATCCCACTTTTAAAAATCATAATGTATTGTGTTTTTATATGTATCATATTTTATAACTGTTCATTTCTCCCAAAGGCCAAGAAGTCTTTAATTGGAGACAAACTTACCACTTGGAGAAAAAAAAATCAGACAGCTGAACTGTTTAGCTAAGAAAAACATGTTGCACAACCATAGAATAAACTATTCATGTGATGAAGGATGAATGTATACTACAGCAGAATGCACAACAGATGTACACAAATTATTTTCATTTGAAAGCTCACAGCATGTGGTGCAGTATAATTGTCTTGCACTTGCCAGACTGCTCTTGCATATTACCAAATTAGCATAAGAAACAAAATCTACAGCAATTATCTGCTTACAAAGCAGGAGTTTCAAACAACATGTTTTTAGGCACAGTTGTGATATAACAAAACGTGTACTTTGACAGTTTTACCTTTAATGAATATCGTCAAGTATAGGAGATTAAACATTAAAGCAAATGTCTCTTGTGTCTCTTACTAACTCATTGTTAAACTAGGGACAAGGCAAATTAAAAATGTTGGGGCTCAAAGATAAAATACAACACTGTAAGACATGAGCCACATAAAAAAATACACTAAGTAATAATATAGTAAAACAGACAAATTCTAAACCAGAAATTGTAGGCAGTATATGTATACTGTATTTAAAAACAAGGTGCATTATTGTACTAAAATGTCCCAGTGAAATCAGAGATACATACATGAACAGTTTATTCTGCAAGCTCTATTTTATTCAATAACTGACAGAAACTTATCCTCACATTTTGCAGAAATAGCTTCACATTTCTTTGAAATCTATCAGATACACAAAAACAAAAAAAGAAGCTTATTATATGACATTATAAAATACTAATATCTGATCTTTGTAAAAAAGAGGATTTTTTTATCGCATACAATTCTAACCAGATAGGTATTAACTTTTGTGTCATAAATTCTGTGCATGTGGTTCAGTTCTATTTATTTGCCATCTTGTTATCTGAGACATTCTGGAACTTCCACCTGGAAAAGAAAACAATTATTATTTAGGTTCTGCATTTAATGCTTTAGTTATGCCTAAAACTGGAATATATGCTCATAGTGACGCTAACTCACAGACATGTGAGCTCAAGTATTTACTAGTCACTTGAGCAGATAGACCATAAGATAGGCAGAGAAATGTTCATATCAGCTGTTGATAAGCCTGTGTTGATGTGGAACAAGGTCACATTGACCAAAGGAGTAAACAGTTCCATTGTGTTTATTAATTAGTTTACCATTCAATATCACACAGCCTGCTTTAATGCATGTCTTTCTTAAATACAATAAAAAGCTTCAAAAGTAGAGATTTGTCAGTAACGGTTACATTCAAAATGTGTTCCTTTATTTCTTTTTACTGTCAGTGAGCCTACTACACCCACTACCGAGCCTAATATACCAATGTGTTCTGTTTTTTTTTTATTTTAGTAGGCATTTATCAAAAGTAATATCAGTAAAATGGATTAATCATATATTCTAAAATTTTATTTTACTTTAATTCATGAAAAAAGGTTATGAAAGACAGTTGTAACACTAGCTTGTTCAGTTAAAAGTTATGTTGGGGCCAAACACTTGGCCTATAAGTGATCTCATCTGGGATAAAGAGAACTTTTTAATTTGACTGAGCAATGTTGCATTAACATTCTGTGATTATATTTCTATTTTTGGCTGCCTCTTGACTCACAGCAGAGCACATTCACTTACTGGGTTGCAAATTTAGTTTTAAATCACATTTTCCCCATAGGAGGAAATTAAGTGCAAAGTGCCAATGCCTTCAATTTAATTACTCAATAAAAATGATTTAAAAGAGAAGTCTCATACTGTGTGGGCTCAGCTTTACTGGAAATTAGTTGTAATATATTTGGCAATCAAGGTTTATGTTCTTTAACTGGTCAATCTATGGCACAAAATGATTTTGCAGGAGTTATAAAAAAAAAAGAGATTGAGAGCTAAAGTACACTATGCATTCAAGTACACCAAGCAGACTTTGACCTAATCTTGACAGACTGTTGTAGGACTATTTATAACACTATTAAGTGGAATGAATTCCCAAGGCTTGGAAGACTGTCAATGAGTACTGATAGCATTGTTTACAAATCCCTGCAGTAAAAAATGTACGCCTTCATTAACTCTTTTTCAAACTCTATACCAGTTACATTTTGGTCCCATTACTTCAAAATAAGTGCTTGTTTGTAATTTTTCATAACCATTATAATGAAGGTCCTGATAGTTTCACACAAAGGGCCTGGAGACAAGTCAATCTAACACAATAAGAACAAAATTCTTCAGCTGTTACAAAAATGCCTCTGACAGTGAAAGGCCTTGCACACGAGACTGTGATTCATGAGCTGAAAATGGAAATATAATTAAACTAAAAGCAGTCTGCATATCCCGTGACAACAATTTCTAGTCTTTGCTTTAGAATTGCTAGACTAAATTGATAGATGAATACATAACTTCACATTTCTTTAAAATCAATGGACTGAATTGATAAATACATGGACTGAAACCGCCTCCAGAATTTTAGGATGCCACCTTCCGTCTGTGGAGTCACTCTCACAAATCTTTAAAGATCCTTGTGGACCCTTTCCACCCTGTCCAGCCTGTTAACTCTCCTCCCCTCTAGTACTGTAGGTGTCTCAGGTCTGTTAAGACAAGGACTACCAGGTTTCCGAACAGCACCTACCCAGAGACTGTGAGGTGCATAAACTCTGCACTTTCACTTTAGATATCTGTTATTGATCTCACTGTTATTTATTTTATTATTTGAGCATGTTTAGGATGGTTTGCGAATGTGTTGGGTGGATGCATTCTGTTATTGGCTCTATGTTGTATATTTGTATTGGATGTCTTTAATTGTATGAGCTCACTAAAGCAAATTCCATGCTACTAGTTGTTATGACAATGAAGTACTGAACTTGAACATGCTGCATTTAAATAGAAAGCATTGTCTCAGTAATAGATGGACTCAGATTAGTACAAGTTTCTTTTTTGTTCATATTTACCCTTCTCAGCTGTTTCACGTTGCTGTTTCGAATTGCTGCCATCAGATCATCATGAAGTGACCTCTGGGGTGTTGATGGTCTTGAGGCTTCTTCTGTCTTTTCAGAAACTGGCTTGAGAGCATTTTTTAATTCCTTGAGGATATTGTTTTCCTTCACCGATTTTTTGCTTTTTTTAGTTTTAGACTTCTGTTGGCGCAGTTGTTGTTTTTTTCTGGACTGTTCATGAAGTTTAATGACTTCTGCAATTTTTCTGGTGGGCACCTTTTTCTGTGGCATCGGTGGTGGAGGGGGAGGGGGAGGCGGAGGAGGAGGAGGAGGGGGGGGCTGGGGAGGAGCCGGAGGTGGAGGGGCATTTTTTTTTATTTGGGAACTTCGGGCCACTTTGGGGGAAGACCATGGGGAGCTCTTTGGTGATGTGTAAGGCGAAGATGATGGTGTGCCTTTCTGTAAAGCATTGGTCCTTGGATTGCTTGGTCCATCAGAGCCTTCCTTTCTCTCCATTCCCTGTTGCTTCTGCTCTAGCAGGCGTTTCTGTCTGTGCCTATCCTGATTTCTTGTCAGAATGCTTGTCATGCTCATCCTTGGTCCAGGAAGCTCAAAATGGTATCCCAGCTTTAGAAGTGTAGTGTTCTCTTTCAAAAGTTTGGCTATTTCCATTTCCACCTGGCCCCCACAAATATGTCTTTGGTTGTGGAACCGCAGCTCTGTTAGTGCAGTGTTTTGCTGGAGGGCCCTCATTATGGCAAGGATTCCTTTCCCCGTAATGAAATTGGACTCAATATTTAGATTGGTAATGCAATTGTTCTCTTTAAGCATCTGTGCAATGGCAAATGCAACATGGTCATCAGCATGGGTGTTGGCAAGACTGAAAACCCGAACAACAGTATTGCTCTTCAAGGCCTCAGTAAAGTGGATGAGTGTCTCCTTGGATATATTTTCAATATTATTCAGGTTAACCTCATTTGTGTTGATATCATTGTTTGAAATCTTTTCAAGGGCATCATCAATTACAATTGGATTTCCACATGGACGGTTAGTTACCACTTTAAGGTTGGGATCTTCATTTGGTGTTTGAATGCAGTTTTTAGCAGCTACAGACTGGCCATTGCAAAGATCATGGTTTTTGTCTTCCTTTTTGCTGCCTATTTCCTTTTGCAAAGTCCTGTTTGGTGTTTCCTCTGCTTTATCTTCATTTTCAGAGATATTATTTTCTTCCTCCTGCTCACTTTCTTCATCTTCTTCATCCTCATCTGCACTGGGTTCTTCTTCTGAAGCTTCACTGTTGCTTTCTGTCACACATTCCTCTTCACTATCAGTGACCTTCTCTGGCGCTTCCTCCTGCAAAGCCATTAGTGGACTGAAGATCAGTTAAACTTAAACAGTTATCAGTACCTGTAAATCTCTGAAGGATCCTATGCACAATCCTTTTCATCAGGCTAATTTTTTGTTAGTGTAGACATTTTATTTTATGAAAAAATTGCACAACTAAGGCAGTTCATGTCCTTTTCATATATCTAGCTTTTTTTACATATACACATTGTATTCAGTATTTTTTTAAATGTACTGGTATTTAAGAATTCCTAAAAGTATCCTATCTTTACAAACTACTGTGAATTTATAATTAATTAATTTAGATGGTTGTAATGACACCGTGTTTTATCATAACTAAGACTTTGATGGAAACCTGGTGATATTTGCAAAATCTAATGGAAGAAAATATTTTTTCTTGTGGTTTCATGTATTATGCAAAGAATTAATCCATGTAAATTCTGACCTGTTTCAGACAGGTGAGCTTTGCCTTAGTCTTTTGTCAATTTAAATTTCAAGAAAAACAATTTTTACAAAATGTTTAAAAGATATAAAAGATTATTAGTTGTCTTGTGAGAAAGGAGGGTTCTTTTTGAGATGCAATGTCTATTTCAACTTTTAAAGAAACAATATTACATATATACCTGTGTGTGTTATGAATTGTCAGATCATACTGTTAGTCAATTAGTTTGAGTTTGAATAATATGGTAGTATAAAGCTTTTAGAGTATGTCTGTCAGGATCACAAGGTCTTCCATCTGCAAATGTTTGGTCTTAAAGACATTGATCTGTGACTTAATTAGGATTTAAGGTCAAATTCATCTAGCCGATAAACCTATTAGTAAAGTTAAATCTATAAAGTATTAGCATTGTCCAGCTACATTAGTTTCAAAAGGTCAATAGCACAACATCCTTTTAAATCTTTCATCCATTTCAAACTAAGTGAATATAAAAATGAATAAATACAGTAAATATAGGTATTTACAATTAATCTTGTCCCACGTTCCCATGCTAGTTAATGAAGCCTATAGTTGAGAATCAGTCATGTTTTTCCATGTTTACGCAGATAGCCAATTAAATTGAATTCTTCTACTACAAAGTAGCCAATTCATTTTAAGATAAGGTTTTTCTGGGAGATTAGTCTTTTGTATGACAAAAACCAGCCTTTTAGTTTTATGGTTGAATTGAGAAAAAACAATGATGCTGTTAATGAGGAACACATAACATGTGTCAATCAAATCTGATTGTTAATAATGTTATAATAACCGGATAATTTACTGTTGATTTAAGACTTTGATTATTCTTAATCAAGAGTTACTAAATGACAAGTTTAGTATTGTCTTACACAAATACCAAAATATAAAATATTGGCATTACTAATACAGATGTTATATTAGTAGAAAACACTCTGAATAAATTATTTATTCTGTTAATAATATTTTTCTCCTTATTGTGTCTAAGATGTGTAAAATGTTTAAGTCAGCAGCATATAAACCAAAACTGTTTATATATAAAGTGAAAAGTGTTAGAATTGGGACAGAGAAGTGAAAGTTGTCATTTTTACTCTATTCAAATGAAATTTGTATTTCAGATTGAAAGATTAATATGAAACTTATTTACAGAATTCCAGCTTTTGTTTCTCGGTATTATTTGAATCCATTTAACCAGGTAATAGCAATGTTGTTTGTTGTGTTCACTCCCACGATTGTGGGTGAGTGTAAGTATTGGGTAAAACCATTAAAAACAGGATAGAACAGATACAGTATAATCTCTCGAGTGCAGAGTCCAGAGTGCTACACTGCTGATTACAATGAGTCCTACTAGTTAACTGGAATAAGCTTGTGTTGAAGTTGTTGTTTAACAACAATAAGAAAACCATAGGCTTCACCTGTACAAACCTTAAAATGATGAATATTGAATACTAGGAAAAGTAAGAAATGACATGAAATACAGACAGGTTAAACTGAAAGAAGATCTCTAAAAATATATTATTGTTTACGTATTTTAATTGGTGTAAAAGACTGCAGACTAAATATACCAAAAATAACAGTGTAAAGCTGGTGACATTTTTACACTGAACTTTCACTGAAATGCCCAAGGACCTTGATCTGAAAAAAGATCATGTATAGTACAATTTAGTGTTTTTTGATAAGAAATACAATTTATTACTCAAAATAGTGTTAAATATGGGTCAGTTGTTATATTAAAATAAATTTGCATGTATAATTTTCATGTATTCAAAGAAAAAATCATTTTAGAATTGAATGTTTTTTTTTCTTATTCTACTCAACACATTTTTAACTATAAGGAGGGATATTTTCTCCAAGGCATTAACTTAAATCTGATTTTATTTTCCATTTTGCACGACAAATTACTATATTCATTTTAGATTAGTCAATACGTTTAATAAATATTTTTTGAAATGGTTATTACCTGTTTTTGCCCAGAGACTGTTCTTTCACTTTCCAGGAGTTTCTGAGTCTCTTTTTCCCAGTATTTTAACAAAGCCTCTCGGCTAAAAGTCCCTGTTGGCGTTTTCTGAGTCTGATCCTTCTGTCTCAGCCCAGTGGGAACATTGTCATCAGGTTCAATATCAGCCAGCTCCCGTTCAAGCTCCTGGATCTCCTCTGAGGTCAAGGAAGCCAGGAGTTCATCTTCATCTATATCCTCATATTTATCAAGCTCTTTGCGATACCCAAACGCTGTCATGGCCACGTCCTCTTGAAAAAGATGTAATTTAACTTCCTTTGTATTAACTGGTGTTTATAACCGTCACGGATTCAATAATCATATGAGTTTGTCCTTATCAGTTTTTATGTACATCTAATTTCTTCAGCAGCTGAAGGAGCTTTTAAAGGGAAATCATCAGGGACTTAGAACAATGCGTCTAGTCATGATGCACTTTCTTTTTTGGGAATCAGGCGTCACCCAGATACTTTTGCAAAAAAGAATGTGAGATCACTTTAGTGCCTGTGGTCCTGCATGACAGGGGATCATGGACACATTGTTCATGACCAAATAAAGCTCAGTTGGTCTTGGAGTGGCATTGTTACTTTTCTCCGCTGAAAATGACAGATATTATAGCATACTACATTAAACTCTAGGGAAAAATGTAATGGTGGTTTTATATGTGAATTAAATTAATAACAATAAATGTTTAAACAAAGCTCAATCATGTTTGGATCCTATTTGGATATTGAATATGGGAACCATATTTTCCACAGCTGCAACTGTGAGAGCTTTAGCTATCATCCTCTGAGAGTTTTCTGTGGAGATTATTATAAAAGGCTTGTGTATAAAGTTACAACCATTTATCTCAGAGCTGAAAGATCACAACAACTGTAACTAGTCTGACTCAAGCTGCATCCCTAAGAAAAAATCTACATTAAAAAAAAGCTTCTATTCATTATCATGATGTTTCAGAGGATGACAATTAATTTTTGCTCTTTGATCAATTTAAATATACATTACATATCTTTCCAGGCTTAATAAATATGTTTGATGATGTTTTTGAAGACGCCACAACATGTACTGACACATGTAGGGCTTACATGTTAAATCCAGGAGTGTCTGATTTTTCATAAAGCCTTTGACATGACTTGCTAAGTTTACTAATGACACTTAAATAAATATGGGATTAGTATAGTTCCACACATTAAAAATAATTTCAAAACTAGCTTTAGCCCAGATCTACCACAGTGAGAGCAAAACTGTGACAGTGATAAGAGTGATAGTCGCTCAGAGGTTTCAGTTCAGGAACCACTACTGAAAACGTTCTGCTGTGATACTGTAGCTGCTGTGATACACCTAGTGTATAGCGATGAACACTGATGGACTGAATGGCTTGCTCTAATCATGAATCTCACAGTCATCTTCGACCAAATTAATGTATAAATTTGAATACAGTTCTAATTTTACAGAACAACTAAATTATATACTAAAATACATAATGTAAATACCTATTTCTGCATTCTTGCTGGTGATTAAGATGTTGCTTTTCCTATCTGAAATATTTTAGATCTAGAGCTCCGAACAGAAAAAGCAATGATCAGGTGTTCTAAGAATGACAGTGTTCATCTTCACCTTTTCATTACAGCACAAAATTTACTACTTGTGAAATTTGGCCAGATTTAAAATGTCAAATAATTCAAAATAAATGATTGGATCAAACATTTAATAGATGTATTTCTGTGCATGTAAGATGTATGATGCTTAAAAAAACCTCCAGAAACACTGGGAAATAACAGACAGAACATAAGCCAGATAGAATCATCTTATTATGCTGCGAGATGTACAGTATATGCGTTTGAGTTCCTATGCATTTTCTTGTATTTCTCATCGAGGCTGTTTATCCTCTGAATGCAGCTTAAATAAGAGGTGTGACTGGAAGGGGACAGTTCATTTAAAGGTCCTGGGTTTTCAGCCAAGGGAGGAGAAAGTGCCTCACACTGGCGACCCTGGTAGGGGAGGTTACAGGGCAGAAGTGAGCACCATGCAATATGACTACAACTCCAGCTTATGAAATGGTTCTTTCGGACATTTACCAAGGTGAGGCTGCTTCTGAACCTCTCAGAACTATTTCTGATCTGTAGTTGTATATACTGTATCTATATCCTTAGAGGTACAAATAAATTCTGATTTATAGGAACTGGTGATTTAAAGAAGAATTGGTTTTCTTTTAAAAAACATCTTTCTTCAAAACATGTTATGTGATATCTTATTCTATTGCTATACTTTGCTATTTAAATTAAATGTGTTCCTAAGAAACCTACCTTAAGCATAATGTTTGCACAGTTAAACCTAAAAACAGAAAGTGCACTGAAGTTTATAAATAGTGAAAGCTGGAAAATTGAATGTAAAAATAAGAAATATTATCAATTCAACTCCTGACTTTATTGTACAAATTTTAGTTTTTGTTCAGTTTTTCTTCTCCATTTATTTTCTTCTTTTATATTGCCATAAATATGTAATGAAATGCAACATCTTGCTCATGTGAATTTGTGTTTGGATATAATGTCATCAGAAAAAATGATCAAAACTGAATCCACGATCAAGACTTGTCCTGCTAGTTTTGTAAGTCTCTCAACCTAAAAAAAGTGGTCACCTGGCCCAAAAAGACTAACAATACGTTCAATTGAATTAATGCAGAAATGAAAAGCAAATACACAATAGATTACACAATAGCTTTTTAATCAAATTAAATACCCACTAATACCAATGGCATTAATATGTATTGCTATAAATAACATAAATCAATTTAGTATGTACATTATCCTCTATTTCCAAACAAGTTACCCTATGTTCACCAAACTGATACACCTTCAATATTCAATTTTCAGGTTTCAACAGGTTAAAATCACAAACATTCAGATCACTTGATGTAGGTGGCCAAACCAGTCCTCCACCATGGATATCAGATATTATATAATTTTGTTCTCTCAGCAGCGGCAGTTGTAACACAAGGGTCAAGCCCTCAATTTATTTCTAAATAATAGTAAAAATAATATTCATTTTAAGAAACACCAAATGCTGCACTGACTGTATAGCCTACCCCTCCTTAGAAATCAAATAAACTGCAAGGACCCCTATCCTGAAAAAAAGATCCTGAAAAACATCTCCACCCCCACAAAAAATAGCAAAGACAGACAAGGAAGACCCTGATATTCACTGTGTCAGGTGAATGCTTCTTCCATATAAATCATACTCCCTGTATAGTATATAATGTTGTAGAACAGTTGGAATTGGCAATGAGGATACAATCTCTGGTTTCTTCAGTCTTTTCAGTGTTATTTGTTTTCGTATCACAAGCCGACACAGGTGCTTCAGTGGTCGAGGATTTTCTGGAACGAAAATTACAGTTCAAAAAGTTAACTGTTTCATAAGAAAGAAATTAAAAGGGATACAGAATTTTGCCTGGACAATTTTCAGACATTTGAAAAACAGACTCATTGCATCAACAACAGCATGTCTACACTTCAGACAAGTATGTAAATAAAAGGTCTTATAAAACTAAATGTATTGCAGTGAAAACAACCACCTTTATTTGATAAATCAGAACTGTTTTTTAAATTATTGACTAAGGTGCAGACTGCAGATAGCGTTTATCTCCATTTTCAAAATGTTTTACTTAAAATGATAAAAGTTTTAAAATGATAAAATTTATAAATGGCTTTATAAAAAAATATTTTGAAGTATTTGTGCTTTTTCTATGTTCTTAAACTTTTGTGGTGTTTTAATATATTTCCCCAAACTCAAAACAAAAAAGCTTAATGGAAAAACATTTATTGGAAAAGCAATAATTTAATTTCATATAACCAAAATTAAGACAACAGCCATCTTAGAAATTACATTTACAGTGCAATTGATATTTCTTTAGGTGGTGTAATTTGTATTTTAATTTGTATTTTGTTACATGTATTTACATGTATAGATGTTTTGACTTTTACATTATGTTTGTTCTTTTTAGTAGAAGTATATAAACATCAAAGTTACTAAATTATTTATTCCAAAATCATACTACTTAGTAAAACAGCGACAATCCATGTTTAGTACCATTTCTTACTCAGCCCTGAGTACCTCGACCTTAGAATTTTATTTTTGAAAACATATTGCTATCATTAAAAAATACCTAGATCTTTCTTCATTTTAGTTAATCTTGAAAGTTACATTAAAAACGTGGAACAAGCTACTAATTTTCATACACTACAAAATCAGTTCCACCAACATCCAGGTACTCTGCAAAATCAAAATGGTGTACTGTAATTTAAATTAACTTACCAAGAATGTCACAAATTACTGCCCATTCTTTCTGCTTCCCCAGAACTGCTTTTAATTTAGAACATATTGGAACATGGTTGACGTAATCCAAAAGAATCTTCACTAAGTTTCCAGCCAAGTGAGACATCCAGGAAACCGTGATAAAGTCGCAGAACTAGAAAACAAGGAACACAAGTGGCTGAGTGAGGCAAAACCAGAAATCCTACCCTGAAATTCTGAGTTTGTGCGAAATAAAACGCTAAGAGGTTTGAGTTCAGAGCTGCATCAATGTATGAGCTGTGAGGGAACAAGTAAAGGCTATTTTGATTTTGGAAAATAAAAAAAGATTAAAAACAGCAGGTAAAGGTTAATTCGATTTTGGAAAATAAAAAAATATGAATAACATAACGTTGTGCAGCTTTCTTTTAGTGTGCCCCACTTTAAGGTTTAAAGTTTACTTGATGGAAGCTTATTGTGTATTGCATCATTACTGAATTCACACAAACCACATGATATGGTATATTTAGCCATGATAAGACTTTAATGTAAACATCTATGTAAAAGAAATATAAGATATATAAAAAATATTCATAAAGTGAATACACATATCTGGACAAAAACTGGTAAATGGACAGATAAAATAATTTTAAGGGAAGAAAACTGAACCTGGAAGAAATGGTTAGTTGAGTACTAATTACCACAAGGATCTATTCTAGGAGTGCTGCTCTTATTTTGATAAATGATGTCAGCTACTGTATAGAAGAATTAATTAGCTAGATTTAACACCTATGTCAAATGCATAGAAGAAAAAGAACCAAAATAGAACAGAAGAAAGGACAAAAATGAAAAAGGTGACTAAATCTATGCTTGAAGGTTAGTACCTAAATTAAGTCTAAAACTTATTTTTAAGTTTAAAAGAAGTTTAAATTTTAAGTCTAAATATTTTGTCTAGCAGTTTCTTGGAGGAACCCAGCATTCGGAGGTCTTAACTGCCTCACTTGGAAGACTGTTCCAAATATCTACAACTTTTATATGTTCCCTATTCTAGTTCCCAAATTAGTGAAAAAAAAGTTTTAATTTTATATTTTGACCCTGCGACACAGTTTTATTACTGACTCTGCAGTGGTCCATTAGGTTAAATATATACTCCATTTTGCATGGTTAGATCAAGCCTCCACTCTCTCTCCCTTGCTCTCTAGACTGAAAATCTGTATTGCAGTCCCTGAGTCCCGGAATTCTTTATGGTAGTCTTCTTTCCAGGCTTTAATATATTTGATTTGTCATGATGACCAAAACTGAAACCACTATTCTCACTAAAGTCTTACAATTCCTCGCTTTTACCTGAATACCCAATCATGATTTCATTTTTTATTACTCCCCCACTTCATCTTGATGAGGACTACATTAACATTCAGATTTCTTTAATGCATAGTTACAGTACCTGCATCTCAGAATCACCCATGTAATTCTCTCTTTACACTTGATCTCTAGGACACCTATTCTCCTCCCAGTTTTTCATATCACTTATATGAGTATGCAGATGATGTCCATTTCTTCTTTCCTCTACTCTTGTAGAGAATATTACTCTGATAAATTCTAAGGATATTCTTCATTCCTCCCTTATTAATGCCTGCCTGTGAGACATCTACTCCTTAGGTACAATCCCATCATCTAAAACAGATCTCTAGATCTGTCCTCTACCTATTTCAACATCTCTATTCCTATTGGCTCCATCTGTCCTCTTCCCCTTCTTTGACAAGAGTCTCAGTGTCATGTTTGAACCCCTGTCTCCTTTTTGTGTTACTGTTCTACTCTGGATGCTTCATGCTGTGTAACATCTGCACCTTGTTCACTAACTTGTGTACAGAAGACCTGGTGCTCTTATTATGAAAGAATTCTTCTAATTTAGCTGTAATTTATTTAAATAAATTTGCCAGTAACAAAAGTAAGAATGAGTCATCTAGAATTTCAGGTTTAGGTCAGTCGACCTTTTTATTACATTTGCAAGTCTGATCTGTGGGTGAGCTCAACTAAAGCGAGAGATGAGGTATCTTAGCTAGGGATCTATGAGTAATATTTCCATAAGTACAGTTGGGAAATACTAGCAGGCCCCAGGAATTTATTAGTTTCAAGGTCCTTTAGCCCCTGTAGATCTTCTTTGGCTGTTATGCTACAATTATCCAGTTCTAATGGAACTCCTTCCTATATAGAATGAAATTGCCATTTTCTATTTTAAATCGGAGAAAAAAATATGTATTTTGCAAATGTATTTATTTTTATTTTTTGATTACTTAACGATATTATAGAGGATAATATGCTTGTTCAAAAGCTCTGACATGTTGGTTAGTCAGGACCTATAAATAAATTGAAAGGTAATTAAAAAATTACCATTAAGTAATTACATTGGGTACATTTCCCTTTCATTTTCTAAAAGTTTACCTTTTCTGGACATACTTTACTTATTCCCTGAAAGATCTTTTGCTGCTGTTGAACTGAACATTTATTATTTATTTTAACCTCCTATGGTATATCCCTTTCAGTTACACTCTTGGGCTTTCTAATAACCTTTTTTACTTGTGTGTGTCATATACTGCATACAACACAATACATTGCCATACCCTAACTGGAACATTCTTTAACTGAAAAAGGTTATTTTTTAATAATTTAATAAAGTACTTGCTCTTCCCTTATATTTTCCTGATTGATTTGTTGAACCATTTGGGATACTGTTTTATACCTTTTGATTTACTCACTTTCAAGATGCATTTCTTCTGTGCTTCAAGTAGAATCATTTCAGTGATTTCATCTATCCTATCGCATTTAACCTGTCTTAAACTGTCTCGTTCTTTCACAAATTGATTTCTGGAAATTGTGAATAGTGTACTTTGGACAACAACAGTTGGAAACTTTCAAAATATACTTCAAAGTATACACTATATTATGGTCACAGTTCACTAATGGTTCTGTCATCTCTCCCTCACTCTGACTTGATGGTTTGAAAAGACAAGATCTTAAAAGACAGTATTAAGTGGTCTAAGAATAAACTTACTGTTTAACCCTTAGAATTCTTATTTTCCACTTTAACCCATATAGATACTAAAGTGCTTGTAGCTTCTGGTTTTAGTCCTCAAGCTTTTAAGTTGTTTTTATAATCTGACCTAACCACCCCTTCTGTTGTGTGCATATTTTGTTATTCTCCATTAGCCATGTTTCATTTATTCATATCACGTCAGAGTTTCCTGCTAATGCAGTAGCTTCAGCTTCTTGCAGTGAATTTATCATACTCCTGGCATTGTGGTATAATGTGAGAAATAATAGTTTATTTTAGAATATACGATTATTTGTCAAATAAATAAGGAAGGATTTTCTTCATGCAGGCAGCGTGTTTAGGATCATTATCATTCCAAAGTCAGCCCTTAATTCTAATGAGCCATTTTTAGCTACTGGTGTCATGGTGTCTCCGCTTGTTGACAGCATAGAAGAAAATGACAGTTTTCTTTATACCATACAGTAAAAAGGTAGAATTTTAATTAAGAATGTAAGCTATTAATTCCACAGAATAAGCTATGTCTTTTTTCATGAAATGAAAATAAACAATTTCCCTTCTTCAGCTACTGATTACTCCGATTATTTAGGATAAATTTGGAAGACGAGAACACATTGTGGCCATTAGCGAACAACTAGAACATGATACCCCAACAACCCTGCTGAGGGCAGCAGGCTGCATTGGTAGGTATGGAATGCTGTTGTGCTGATAACAAATGTCAGTAGCAACAGTAACCACAATAATTACTTTTCAGGATCAAAGCATAAACAATTTGTTACAGTTAGTTTCAGTTAAAAAACATCCTAAAACAGGAATAGTTTTTGTTGTCTTTTTAGGTTGAATAAAGAGATGATTTTTAATGAAAAGGCAACATGCTGTATACAGTATTTGAAAGTAAAATACAACTCTCCAAAAAATAAGCATTTTTTTATCATTTCAAGACAAAAATAGGTTGGTGGTTAAATTAGAGATAGACATGATAGCAACACAGATTTTTACAATCATTCTCCGACTTCTTCTATTTTACCTCATTGACACACTTGCGCTCTCAACACTAGCTCTATAGGATTTCTTTAGACAGTTAACTTCCAGCAACTTAAAATATTGAACTTGATACAGTATGTACTCTGACACTCATTCATCTTGAAAACTCTTTCTATAGTCTCTAAAGTAACTCTTAGGGAATTTCTGCAATGGAATCGCCCCCCTGAATTATGGTAGACACTGCTTATGTTAAAACATCTATGAGATAAAAATATTTTATTCCAAAATGAAATACGACTATTTTACATAACTCTATTGTACAATTATGCAATTATTCAACAAATTATTGACTGACGATACAACATACAAATCATTTAATTGTCCTCTGGAATGTTTTATAAAGGATAAACTCGTAATATCAAATTACTCTAAAGTAGTATTAAAAGCTTCCTCATTCTGAAAGAAGTCCTAAAACTTTAGCCCCTTAGACATACAGTAGAATGCTATATTTTTATAACAAAGCTATACAAGATCCGTACAGATCACTGTTTCGACAACTGTAATGCACAAATCTGAATTTCTAGATTATAGCAGTTCTCACTTACAGTAGTGGTTTTTGTATTTAAAAGAGATTTCAGATTTCAAAACAAGTGTAAAAGTTTAGTTTCCTGTATTATTTTATTTATTTTCTTATTTAGAACTTTTGCATTGTAATGACCCTTTATCATCTCCTTGGTGGCACATTCCATTTAGACAGCTAAAATGTAGTTATTACATTACGGGGGTAACTTCCCGAGGTACTCACAGGTGTCTTTTTTCCTTCATTGCGGCTCAGAGAAAACTCACGTTGTTCCGTAAAGACGGACACCCACTGAGACTCCAGAAGAAAGCTTATGTCATGGTCACAGCAAAAGCACTTCTCAGCATCATAGCCATTGTTCAGCAGAAGTCGCATCATCATCTCATCCTTCAAACAATACTGAATGGCGCTGGGGAAAATGGTGTCATGCACCATAGTGAAATAACAGTTAATATCTGCTCCGTATGCAAGAAGCAGCCTTACAATTTCATACCTCATTGCTCTGACTGCCACCAGAAGGCATTTTAAGGGATCTTTGTTTGTTGCTGCACCATGTTTTAAAAGCAACTCAGTGCACGTAACATCTCCATTTGAAACTGCGAAGTACAGAGGGGTTCTTCTTGCATCTTCATAGTTGTCAGAAATGTGAGACTCCAAGACCACATTGACATCAAACCCATTTTCGATGAGGAGCTCAAGGCACTGAGCGTTGCCTCCATCTGCTGCAGAGTGAACAGGGCTTTGCCCGCTATCTCTGATGGCCTTTCTCGAGGTAACAGGAATAAGAATTTTCACTGCCCTGTGGAGAAATGCAATGGAGCTTCATTACATTACAGTTGATACATTATGACAAGTCATAAAATGAGAAAGCTACAATTCTGTACTGCACTATAATGAAAGCCTAAAAAAACATATTCTGCATGCTTTTTTACGTCCACTTATAGGTCTTTGAAAGTTCAAAAAGGATTGAATTCATACTCTACCGAAGACTTTAGCATGTTATCTAATCACAGCAATTCTTTTTCAGTAAGGATTCTGACTAGAGAATACCTTTGCAGGATAACTGTCTCCTTCTCCTCCTGTATCTAAAATATCCTTACAGACCCACTTTCTCAACAACTAGAACAGCAACTATTGTTTTTTGAGATAATTAGTGCAATCATATATACATTTTACAAACAGTTGGCATTGATCTAATACATAATTGCAAAGCTGATCATTATAACAAAAACAAATACACTGAATCAAAATGGAAAATGTTAACTTCTGAGCATATTATATGGACACAGTATTATAAAACCTTAGTATTCCTACCACCAAAGCATCATAGAGTGATTGAAAGTATTTTTAAACAACAATGTGTAGAAGACAGAAGGCAGCATCACACACACACTTACAGATAATGACCTCCATATGCTGCTCTGTGAATTGGCAAATGTCCACTTAAATTGGGAATATTAGGACTTGCACCATACTCAAGGAGCAACTCTATACAGTCTGGATTCCCTCCACTAGCAGCATCAAATAACACACTCTCCCCGTGATCAGACTGTGCATTAACATCACCACCTAGTGAGAAGGAAAGGAATATGCTTAAATATATACTATACTTGGGTTTTTTTAACTAAGAGGTGTAGTCTAAGGAACAATCTTTTTTTGTATTATTTACCTTTATGTATCAAAATCTCCAAGACATCTGCATGTGCATATTCAGCAGCTATTCCTAAAGGAGTTACTCCGTACACATCTCTTTGAGAAATGCTGCCTCCATTTCTTAACAGCAGGGACATGATGTCACTTTGGCCCATCTTGGCTGCCTCATGCACTGCTGTCCACTTTTTCAAACATAGCTGGTCCACGAAAGCTCCATTCTTGATAAGAGTGGATACCATTTCACGTGACCCACTCCTCACAGCTTTGCAGGAGAAAGAGAAAATATTATATAGAGTATATATAAATATCCTCTTATAAATAGAATTTTATATTGAACAAATTATTTTAGTGGGAACCCCTGTACTCCTTTTGTTTCACTCAAGACAGATGATTTATTTTGAGATTACTCTTTGAGTCACAGCCCTGACCCTCCAACAGTCAGAGTTAGAAAAAAAATAGAAACTGCATTAGGTTAGAAGTTGTACAAGGCATCTTTCAATGACAAGCCTTTAACCTTAATTGAAACCTTATGAAACTGAAAAGCAAATGTCCTGATTTGAAACAATTGTTCCTACGGTTGTAAGATAAATTAGTACTGTGGGTAAAGCACTGGAATTCAAGTCTTGCCAAGCAAAATGCATTACAATTTTTAGAAGATCATCACAACCCTTCAGCCCACTGAGATCTTCAATGCTCCTTGAAAAATGTTTCAATTTCCAGAAGATGTTGCGAGTTAAAAATCCAAGGCTATGCATTCCTGGCAGTGAGGCACAATGTACTTTCTCAGGTAATAAAGCAATACTACCAAGCAAGAGAGGAGTCTCATTCTTCCTGTTGGCGTTGTGAGGGGAAGCCCCCTTTTCCAGGAGAGCCCTCACATTCTGCACATGACCAGCCTGAACTGCCAGAGTCAAAGCTGTCTCTCCATCCAGTGTTGTCTCCTCCAAAGATACCTCGCAGGAAGCTATCAAACAAAATCCCAGAGGTTCATTTTTACTGATGGTTTCTCATAAGCTAGCCATTGTGATTTTTACATGGTGTATAAATCTACATCTAAATAAACCAAGAACTCAGGCTATAAAGAATCTTAAGCCTTACAAAATCATTGTTATGCAAATACTGCATCCCAGTTGTGATGAAAATATTCTGTATTACACCATAGTGTAATTCATACTGTACTTACACAGACAGGTTCACAGAAACTGGTTTATGAAGCACACTGTTGTAAAAATGACATACCATCCAGGACAATCTCTAGGATTTGTAGTATAGGCTGGACTACAGCTTCATGAAAGGGAAACCATCTTCTTTCATCTGTCTCATGGAAGGCAGACTTAACCTTAGCAAGCTGCTGGAGGAGAAATATTTCACCTGGAAAACAACAAACAATGATTAGGAATTTATTATGATTTAAAATAAAGACATCTAAAAAAAGATACATACCATGCCGGATCGCTTCCATAATCCTTTGGTTTTCATGACTGACTGATTCCAGACTATTGAAGAAATGACAGGAAAATAAAGGTTAGGTTGTCTGATGTTTTGTTATACAGCTTTTTTCCCACAAATAGGACTTTTTCTGAAACAGTTTTATTTAGAAGAGCACAGGATGTGGCTGTTGAATGCTGATCTAACTATGATTCCAATTCCTTGACATAAAATGATTTGTTATGAAAGGGTTAAAGACATGCTCAATAAGTTAGACACAGTTTTGTTATTGTAAATCACAACAAAAGAATGACTCAGTCTAAGGCAGAGACACTTTGTCTGTTACAGTATGCATGGCAAGAGCCAGATTTAATTGGAACAAGACTACAATATTTTTCTCCCAGCTTTTGCTTCTCCTTGGTAAGGTGCTACATTTGCTATGGATTTCATTCCTTAGTTGTAGTGTTTCTGATTACAATACAACAGGAAGATAATGTTTTCAACTAGTAAATTTGTACAAAAAGTGGATTTGCTTTAATCATAACTTATAAAATGCAGAGGTTACAATAAGTGTTTTCATACTTGTTTTTACATACTTTTTGTTCTGTAAAGACAATCTAAAGAATGGGATGGAAAACATCAAACCTCAAAATAATACAAAAAGGAAACCATAAACAGATGGAAACTATTTTATGACTTAAAAACTAGATGTAGAATGCATATAGTGGCTCTCATGAGTATTTGTACACATACCAGAGCCACTTCAAATTGCTTTCCATCTTTTTTTAACTAGTTTTGAAATACAGTTTTTTGTTCTGTGGACAGAAAAAGAAAAAGAGTACAGAATACAGTTTAAACAGTAGAATATCAAATATAGTTCTTCAGTACTGTGAATTTTAAAATATTACCAGTATTGTGCAGGAAACAATAATGAGAAAGTGTTATTTAAGAAGTTGAAAACTTAAGAATATTGCAGGTGTAACCATACTGAGGACAGACATGATTTGCTTTTTTAATAATGCTTGAAACATCTCAAGCACAAAGAAAATATGTTATGTAGAGATATGACAATCTAGGAGATTTTTGTCTACAGTAATATTCGGTTAGGGAATGAAAACAAAAACCCAGTCCATTACCTTTTGCAGACTGCATAATCTTATCTAGGATAATAGATTAGATTATTTCAAAGTAAATCTTAAAATAAAGGAAATATTAACATTTTGCCAGGCTATAAAATGTTACAAAAATGAAAAATAAACTAAGGGCAACGCTTCTCCAAAATGTGACAGAATGTTACTCCTAAACAGAGGTGTTAGTACAATCTAAATCAATCACTTTTTTTCTTAATTGTAAACGTGCAGTTCTCTGTACCTCTCTTTAAATATCAACAAAGATGAGAATGATTCTTGAATACTCAGCTGGATTGCATACTCTGTAAGCTGATCTTCATCCATTTTGTCAATGTTCTCCATTGCTTTAAAAGAATATTACCTGTTAACAATCCAGAACACTCTGTTAAAATAGTATAGACTACAGATGTACTGCCAAGAAGTGCTATCAAAGCTGTAAAAACTCAATTATCAATCATCCTTTTAATTATAGATTTTAAAAAAATTACATTGTATTTCCAGTAGTAGAGTTATTAGCCTCTGTCAAATCAAAAGTGCCAGACGGCTTGCAGGAAAGAGCCATTCCATCACTATTATAAGAACGTAGCACAGCATCCTTCATTATTTGAGAACAACTCATTTAAAATACCTGTTCCGAAGTAGTTTCTGGATTATCACAAAAGCAGAACAGCATGCCTCCAACAAATAACTTTTCATGCGAAAACTGTGTCTGCTGTTGCTATGTACATCATGCTATTAAACGTTTGTGGAAATAAAATAATGGAAAATCTGTAATTAAAACAACAGCATCAATAATCCAGTTTTCCCATGAATAGATACACTACATTGAAACAGAATAGTACACTCAGTTTTTTTAATTTTTTTAGTCGCATTTATATAAATCATCTGAACACAAAAACAGTTTGGGGAATAGTGACTGTTTCCTCTTATCTAAAATGAAAGAACAAATTCAAGGTCATGTTCGGCTTATTTTTAGGTTTGACTTCATTTAGAAGAAGCACAGCCCAGGCCGAGGATAGAAAACCTAAAAGTTATATTCAACATTCAGTATTTGTTAATAAAAAAAACAATTAAAATACTAGTAAAATTACACGCCGTAAAGAACAACATAGCTGTAAAGAAATCTCCTCTGAGTCTTTAAATTGTCTTCATGTATCCGATATTTAACTATTTTAAAATCTTTAGTGTCAATAAGATTTTCTTAAATAAAGCTAAGAAAACATGTAGCTTTCAGAATTCAGTAACTTAGTTTCAGGATGCATCACAAATCCATACGTTTTAACGTACGTTATTAGTTTGCGTTTTTCCAATCTGTTGGTTTAAACTCATGCAAAACATTTTATAGACGCGAGTTTGTGTTTCAATGTTTTTGGCATCTGCATGCAAGTTCGAGCGTTTTAAACAATTAAGAAAGGCAAAACCGCCTAACCAAACCAAATTATCTTCCCAAATATGAAACCACTTAATACTATATTCAAACACATTAATTCAATTTAAAAGGTGATCTAAAATCTGTCCTTATGAGATTTCCTTGCAGAGCTTGCCTGGAGATGACTTCTGCAACTCATACACATGCCTCGGTCAACATCACAACACGAAATCTCTTGTTACAGTATTTCACAGGACTCGCATCTCGAAGACGGCACTTGATTTATCCTGTCTAGATATCTGGAAAAGTCATCGATAAAACAAGTGCTCTTTTTTTTCGCCTGGCGTCCCAGAATCCTGTGCACGAAAACATGGCTGGTTTGTTGAAGAAGGTAAGTATGGAGGTCACACAAATAAGCTGATATTACAGTTGTCTGAGACGGTTGCTGGCAAGAATGAAAATGGATATTGAATTAGGTCGTGCTAGTGTATAAGTGTTAATTTAATATGAATAAGTCTTAACCTGATTATTAGTTATTTACATATTCAAAGTGAAGGGTAATGCTGAATAGCGAAATTGTATTATTGTTATCGAGGTTTTGCATTACATTGGTTTATTTAGTAATGCATTATCCGTGTTCATGTTCTTATTTTATTTGGAAGTACTATTTGTAATATGTTTGATATTTAATAACTGAAAACTGATTAACAAATGTCATGGTTGTCAGTGTTGTATCTTTTGAGTATAGATTTTTGGATTGTGGCAGTAAATCGTTCAAGATTATTTGTGGACACGTCGAAGTGATCTTGAGCTTGACTATTGTAAAGATAAAGAAATAAAACATTTCATTTAATGCACCAACCGAAATATATTGCATATACAAGGTAATTATCGTTGCATTCGCTGACAAATGGTGTGCGTCAAATTTACGTTGGGGGGAGGTTCGACATCGTTCGTTAGATAGTGATTTAATGTTTATCAGTGCATGTTTTTGCTGTTTCGATATCGAAGGCATATACGAGGTAGTAGTTTATCTTTTCTAAAACTTGCATATCGTTTTCGGCGACTGTCTTCAAAAGACCCCTTTATAAATATGTACAGTACGAAACGCCTTCGCATAAAAACTCTTTAATATATTAATGTTGACTTTTTTGCAGACCACTGGCTTATTGGGCCTTGCAGTTTCTCAGAATCCACATGAGGTAAGTTATTTTAATGAGTTTAATGTTTAGTTTTGAAGATTAATATATTTATTAATCTCGCATGATTTTCATAGCTGGAGAAATATTTAAAACGTGAAGCAAAAAGAAACAAATGTGTGCATCAAAAGAAATTGATGCATGTCTTCTTGCTTGTATAGGGATATAGCTATAGACCAATTTTTAATGTATTCACAATATGTTTTTTCTCTTTAGATGAGCTACATGTATTAGGAGAACCAGTTAAAGAAATAAGACAAAAATCATTAGGGTGTAACTGAATACACTCCCTACAAACTGATTTTATAGAGATATTTTCGCCTGAAAAAATATTTTTAGCAATGTATAATATGGTAGTGGCCTAGCTTTTTAATATTCATATTGTCTATCTTATACAGTATCAATATATGGAAGTATTCTAATTATAATGTTTCCTTGATATCATTGGAATATATTTTCCAGTTTTAGTAGTTATGCAGACTGAAATAAAAACTGCTTTTCTTTATTGTTATTGAGTATTGAAGTCTTCTTACAAAGTGAGTGGAATTGCTGATATAGATAATTTTGTGGTTTGTTTTCCTTTTTCCTGGAATACAGAATATGGTAGCCTACATGTTAAAGATGTTTTTACGTTCTTTGTGAAGCGTATTTACCAGATCACGTTATTTCTTAATTAAACACAAGTGTGCTTTCTTTTAGCGCCTCAGGATACTTTACACAAAAATTCTAGCCTCTCTGCAGACTATTCCTCAGGATGCTGCCTACAGAAAGTACACAGAACAATTCATTACTGAAAGGCTTAATCTGGTGACATCGGTAAAGTATACTAATACGAAATATTCTTCCTAAGTTCTTTTGTGCCTTTATTCTTTCTTGTAGTCAAAAATATCACTTGTTAATATATTTGTTTTCAAGGAACCTGATGTAGAAAAGCTTGAAAAGAAGATTAACTCTGGGCAAATAGAAGAGGTTATTTTACAGGTAAGTGCCTTGCGTTATTAGTGGAGTAGTTCCTGTTGATATTGTCAGTAAATAAATCAATTCTTATGGCTAGTAGCATTGTTTTGTTCCTGCTCTTGACACACAAGCAAATAAATATTGTTCACTTTTGTTGCTTTTGACCTCATCATTCTGTCATGGAGTCTCATGTGACAAAGACATCCCTGTATCACTCTGTTTGGAATTCATCTAGACTTTAAATGTCTATCAAAACATTTATATGATACAATATTATGACACTGCTACATCAAGAATGTTCAAAGTTGTATTTTTGGTTTACTTGTGCACTGTGTCTGTATGTTACTAAAATGATTAAAATGTATTCCTATATTAAAAGTGGTCATTTTTCATATCCACAGGCAGAGAATGAGCTTCATTTATCCAGGAAGATGTTAGAGTGGAAACCCTGGGAGCCCTTAGTTGAAGAACCCCCTGCCAACCAATGGAAATGGCCAATCTAAATTGAACTAAAGTGAAATGAATATCAAGATCTTTCAGGTTTTATGTCTCCATGGTTTTTGTCATTGGACGTACCACCTGTTTATTGTGTATTATATGTCAATAAATTGATAAATATTTCTTTTTTTTGTATTATTTGAGACAGATGCATTAATGTAAAATTTTGTTTTGTTTTTTCAAAGGAAGCATTAGAAAAATAATCTCTTTGTGAGCTTTTAAAGTGATAGAATATTGTGTGGAGCAAATCGATTGACAGCAGTGTAAATAACATCCACCCATCCATTTTCTAAAACCTTCTTCTAGTACAGGATCATGGGGGAGTCAGAGCTTATGCCAGCACACAACGGGCACAAGACAAGCTCATCCAGGACAGATGGACACAAACACAGATGTGCAAAAACGCACACCAGGGCAATTTTTCCAGAAGCCTTTTAACCTACTGCTATGTTTTTGGACTGTGGGAGGAAACCCATGTGAAAAAGGGGGAGAACATATAAAATCTACACAGACTGCACCCCAGGTCTGGAATTGAACTCGGGGCTCCAGCTGTGTACTGTATGTATGCTAACCACTGCACCATCATGCCACCAGTAAACTGAAGATCTAAAATTGTCCAGAGTAATTGATTTTATGTGTCACTTTACTGCCGGTGTACTTCATCAATTGCTCAAAGGAGATTATCAATATTTGAGTCATCAAGATGACAACATTATCTTGGAATACCAAGTCTCTTGGTAGATAAAAACATTTTTAGAAACCAGTGTAAAGAAATCCATGCAAAATAATGAAGATTTGTTTTAATTTGTGTGAAATGCCAGCTGAAATTAATATGGAAAAATATGTAGCTACACAATGTCTAAATTAAATGTTTGGTATTCTCAAAACCTGAAAGGGGTATTGTTAAATACCATCAATATTTGTTTTAAACTGTTTGCAATGTCTTAAAACTAAAGACACAATGTATAACAGACCTTAAAACATTGAATGCAAAATACGTAAAGCACTCCTTATTACAAATGTCTGCATGTTTGCCTGGCTACCATCTTAAAATGATTAGTTACAATTTTGCCAATTAAATCTAAGCGAATAGTGGTGATAAATCTTAATTTTAATATATGGAGCATACAGAGAAACCATTTTTTACAGCAACAAATTCACAAAGTCATCAGGAAAATTACCTTTTTTGTAGCATAGGAACAAAATTAGGCACTGTCCTTCGGATGAGATGTAAAACCAAGGCCCTGACTCTCTGTGGTCAATAAAAATCCTGGGGAGTTTCTTGAAAAGAGTAAGGGTGTTACCATGGCCTTCTGGCCAAATTTCCAATTGGCCTTTACCAATCATGGCTTCCTAATAATCTGCCCTCTATGAATTAGTTTCATCACTCTGTTCTCCTCTACACTGATAGCTGATGTGTGGTGAGCGTTCTGGTGCACTATGGCTGCTGTCACATCATCCAGGTGGGTGCTGCACATTGGTGGTGGTGGAGGGGGGTCCCCACTACCTCTAAAGCACTTTGAGTGGAGTGTCCAGAAAAGTCCTATATAAGTGTAAGCAATTATTATAAATTCAGATGCCTTGTGATAGGTCTGTGACACTTGCTGATGTCCATCAGGATGACCCACATTGAAACTTTATTAATCTCTAAAGAAGATTTGGCTACACTGTGGGTAAAACAACCTGAGGTAAACACCAATATGCCAATGCCATGAAGGCTTTGATCCCCCAGTAGCCTGAGCACATTGCTTCCATTCTGCATTTTTCTTATTGTCTTATTTTTCACTGGGACTGACAAACAACAGCTTAAATTTCCCCATAGCCTCTGCCCAATCAGCTTTCTCACCACTGAGGTGGTTCAGTGCTTATGCAACAGTCACAGTTTGAGGTGCATGAGTGATGAATTTATCAGAAGGATGCCAAAAATATTTAATCAGTAAGCCAAAATGTTTAAAACGTTTTCTAAAAACACAGATAAAGAGGGATAGGTTTCTTTTGATGCTCAATACTTAACTCTTAATATTTGGCTTTTCTAACTAATAGAAAAAAAGGCACGGGATGAGTTACTGATGTGTTGAGATACAAAAGCAAATTCTATCATTATAAGTACCAACTAGAATAATTGTCAATAACTACAAGTGTTATGACATATGCATATGCACATTATATAAGAATCTGTTAGAAAATCTATTAGTTAAGCCTTCAATATTTCTATCCATCAATGAAACACAACCACCATCTTGACAGGGCTTGAGCAGGTCTGCAACAAAGAGTGGGTTAGGGTGTGTGGGGGGTTATACTGTACTTATTATACAGCATTATTCATGTAAGTTTGTTAAGCAGAAGAAGGGATTTAATAAACTTTATTAAAAAGTTTACTTTACTAAAAATCTAAATAAATTATTGAAATAAGATTAAAGTTTCTCTTCATTGATAAATTAATGTTATGTTCCCTATGATTATCTGCATCAAAGTTGTATAACCTCGTATATATCTAATTTTAGAACAAACGAAACGTTTATAGATAATATACATAAAAACGTTTTTTTACCCCTTTTCACCATTTGAACATGCAATATTAGTTAATGAACTAAAACCGCTACCTCACTTACTCAGGAAAGAATAAACTGTAAATTATTCTGGTCATTTGTTGTCGTGCCAGGTCTAACTTTGTACAGTCTAGTAGTTTTTTTTTTTAATTTTATTTGTCCAGCCTGCCAAAGTTGACATAAAATGCACTTGTAGGTGTCATTTTGACTACAGTTTGATAGCGGCGGTATTAACGCTCACAGCCAATGAGTACTCAATCTAGCATTGTAATATGGCGTATCCATGTTTTTTTTGTGAGGTTAGCCACAATCACATGACTGTTTCCATGGCAGCGCAAAACAATTGTTCTGGTAAACTGCAGGTAACAGAATTGCCAATGTTTCGGGAGGCTCACATTTACACACTTAAGGTAAATAAAACGAAAAAGCAAATTTATGCTGTCAAACTAGAGGTTTTATCGTGAATATCTACACAGAGGGTTCTGGAAATGTAATTTTATGAATAAGATATGGTACAGTTACTGTGCTATAGAACATGCGAGATTATGATTTTAAAAAGTTAGGTTAAATAAAAATTATTTTAACTTTGTTTACAAGATTTATCTGACAGTTTGACACAGAGCAAAATATTTGTGGTATAATTCATATTTGTCTTTTACTAGGTGGTAGTTAATATAAATTGGCAGCTACCTGTATAGAATCATTGATCTTATTTTGTATATTTTACGTAGTGTTACTGTAAAATATAAATGTTTTTTTTTTATTCCTTCAAGTGAGTATGTCTGACCAAAAGACCGAAATCCCCGATCCCAAAGATGAAGAAGTTCACAGTACTGAAGCAGATCAAGTTGTCACGGAAGACGAAACACCACCCACAGAGCCTGCTGTTGTGACTTCAGCGGCAGAGGAAGGGACAGCAGACCAGGCTCAGCCATCCGAGGCAGCCGATCAAGGTCTTCTGTCGGTGTTCGTGCCCGATGACATGCTCTCAGAAGAGACAGGTCCTGACCAGGTTGCGCAGAGTGTGGATCATGGCCACCCGGTTCCTTCAGCTCCCGCAGAGCCTGATGCTCAGATGGGGCCGGTCGCTGCCGAGGATATGGATTCGACAGATGCAGTGGCAGAAGAGGTTGTGCAAAAGAAGGAAACATCTTCGTCTCCGGCCGTAGAGAACACTACCGTAACAGGTCCAGTCAAACAGACACTTGGTTTCCATTGCTACGATAATCCCCGTTATCACGTGTTTAGGTTTATTGTGTGCACTGCTCTGCATCTTTGTGTCCTGCAGTGCAATCAAGCGTAATCTCCTATCCAATGAAAACTTATGTCTGACTGACAAAACGCAGTGCAGAGGCTACAAAAAGGCAATGTTGCGACTTGGAAAGATCTAGTTTTGAGATCAAGTAGGGCAGGAGTTCACAATCCTTGTCCTGGAGGCCCACTGGCCTTCTGGGTTTCATTCCCAGATGAGTTTAATTACTTAATTGAAGTCTTAATTGAACGAAGAAATTAATTTTCTGAAAATATTTTCATTTTTTTCTACTAGAATGTGTTGGGATTTTATTTGATTTAGGAAATGCAATCGTTAAAAGGCAACCTTACACCTGATTAAGAGCTGAAAACAGTTCAAATTCATCAAGTCATTAAGGGCTCAATTGTATATCTGAGAACTTGGCTGGAACAAAATCCAGCAGCTCATGTGGTCATCCGTGAGTAATACTGTTTTAGAATATAAAAAATAATATCTTGTGCTTGTACCGTTTGTGAAGAATTTTACCTGGTCAGGTATTCTGCCCATGTTTTCATTCTGGTTTTAGGATCTCAATCCGGATTAGTTGTTAGGGCCCTGAAGTCCCAGTTTGATGGCTGTGGGTTCAAATTCCAGGAGGAAGGGCGCTGTTGTTGTCTCTTTCTGGTTCACTGAGATTAGTTCAGTAAAGGCCCTTTTGTATAAACAGAACTTGTTGTACTATCATCATTTTAAATGAGAAGATGTTCATAATAGATGTGTGCATTTAAATAAGGGGTTAATAATAAAATGTCTGTTAATAAAATAGATAAGAGCTTTTTCACTGAAGAGTAAATATTAAATATAATTATTAATGAAAGAAAGGAAATTAGGGTATTGTTTGATCTCATAATTTGCAGAACTGACTGCATCTCTGAGTAGTCTAGATGAGCTGTTTTTTTTGCATGGAATCCATTAAACAGACTGTCAGAATCTTGTTTCTCTCAGCTGCTATTATCTGGTCCCATACAGGCGATGCTTTCTGTCTGTCTTAATTTACTGTTGTTGCTTCTTAAATTGGAACCGATATTTCTTTTAGGATTATGTACATCCATTTTAAATTGTATTAACTGTGTTATTTTTCAATGTACATATTATTATAAAAGCAACTTTGATAAAGACAATTTATAAGCTGTTGCCAGCATGTTGCAAGTTAATACAGCAAGATATTTTTACATTTTGTTTACATCTTGTTTTTTTTTTCCCTTTCAGTTAAAATCATGCTCCTTCCAGATGGTCATATGATGACCATGGCATTTGCAATAGGCCTTACAGCTGGAGACCTGAAGGAACACTTTGCTACAGAGCTTAAAATGCCAACCAGTGCATTACAGGTTTCATTCAATGGTGAGATTTCCTTTTAAAAAACGTTTCCACAATTAGTTTATATTTTCTGTAAGCATTGTATATTATATGACTATTTTGTGAAAGAATGGACACTTGCTGGGGCTGTGTGTTTTATAGGTAATAATTTAATTTTCTTGACCTGATTTTGAACAATGGATAAAAACACAAGAAAAGATATGAACAAGAGGAAAGCATCTAACTTATCTGGTTTTTACTATTTAAAGGATTTCATTCAGCAGTTTTTTTTTTTAAAGAAGTGTATCAGGCTTCTTAGTCCTATCTGTTTAATCCTAAAAATATTGCTTCCTCATGATAAGGGTATTTTTTTTGTTATAGTTTATGTTCCTGCTACCTGAACGTAACACTGCACTTGACTTTATTAAATTTACAGGCATTTAATCAATCAGGTATTTTTGAAACCCCTTTCCCACATTTACAGTGCTTGCTAATGCTCCTATTTTGTTATCATTGTACATTTTACTAGTTCTCTAAATATAACAGAATCTAAATCAGTGTCATTAATGACAAATAACAGTGGTTCCAATACAGATCCCTTATTCATTTCTGTCACCATTTCATCTCATAGGAAAAGCTGTTGAAGATTCTAAGACGCTTATAGATCTTGGTGTACAGCCTCATGGCACTATCCAGTTAGAAATGTCTTCCTCTGACCCTGAAAACTACCCCATCAAGCCACTTAAGCCACAGCAGGAGTACAACATGCCAGATGTCATAACTGTCGGGGTTCAGAAAGGTAAAATGCACTGGTATTTACTTCAATCTCATTTCATTTCAATCAGTACCATAATGTTTCTTTCTTGCAGAGATATTTTAATATACACTGTTATGCAGAAGTCTAAGTCATTTGACTCAGTCAAAAAGGTATAAAATATGTGTTTTATGAGCATCACCAATTTGATCAAAGTCTCCACTAGTGTTCTATATTATTGGAACAATACATCTTCATTTTTGTGAGAGGAAACTAAGCTGTTCCTATAACCATCTTTAATTTGTATTGATCAAATCTTCAACATGAGTACATGAATATCCAATTTGAAGGGTTGTAGTCGTTAATCCATTGTTTTTATTCATTAAATATAATTAATTTATTATCAGAACATGTTTAGGATGGCTAATTTTTAAGGAACGATTGTCATTTAAAAGAGATAAAGAAAGAAAAACTGAGTTAAGAGAGTGTTAGGAATTAGTTGTGAACACCCTATGCAGAACAATCTGAGGTCCGAAAGCCGTAGGTAAATTAGCCGGTGCAAAAGTACAATAACCAGAGGCGGAGCTGTAATCCGTAAAGATTAGCCGAGAGTCAAAACCAGAACGAGAGCAAAAGTACCAAAACCGAAACCAGGAGAGGTAGACAGAGAACAAACCAGGGTCAGGAAGTCAAAAACCAAGTAGTAAATAACAATGAGACTGGGAGTAGTTCTAGCCAGGACAGCCCTTATACTGAGCACCGGGAGGAGTGTGAAGCAGCATTAAATAGGCTGGGGGAAAGGGCTAATTGGGAACTGTACTGGAATGTGAGGTGGAATGCTGATTCCCCTGGGGGCATGGCGTAACAGAGAGTTGGGCACTGCAACATATCTGATTCTCGCAAAGTGGTATGTCTAAATCAAATGATAGTAAAAATATGATTTCTTTTAACAGAAGAGGATACATATCATTATGTAGTGGTTGAGATTGAAAGGGCTACACACCGTAAACCTTTTCTTGGTGGATATCGGCATAAATTAACAGGGGCAGAATTTCATCATGCTGCAGTGCAAACATTGCCCAAAAAAAGGCCGGACAGAAGTGTTGAACAGTATTGCAGGGACACACAGGTATGGATGTTAATATTACAATAATCAGAGAATACCTCTTATAAATTTATTAGAAAAAATATTTGTTTTAGGGTGTTACATCAATCTGTTATTCACGTCAATCAATAACTCGGGTTACTGGAAATATTTTTTTTGTAAAATGATTTGACTGTGGTGGTTGCTGGTGGTAAAATTAATCAGTATGAAGTTTATGCTTATGTTCGCAACAGGAGTGAATTGTCAAACTATGTGTTATAAATTGATTTTTCTGTATTTTTGTTCCTGAATATATAGACAGTTGTTCAAAAAAGTCAATGCCAGCAGGCCACTAACTCAACATCTACGCAAATGACCAAAATAGGCTGTTATGTGTCCAATGCGAAAGACAAGCTACTGATACCCAAAACATATGTGACAGCAGAAGAATATCATGCTAAAAGGCTCAAAGCAGTAAGTGACTTTTATCATTGTTTTTGGGAAATATATGGACAGTATAATGCATTAGTATATATGCTCTCAGACTCTTAGATATACAGGGAATAATTGCTAATAATAGGATGGAATTTAAATGAATTGAAGACTGTGTACTATTGTGAAAATGTGATTTAAACTGACAAAAACAAACTCAGTGCTATAACATTATGTTAAATACATGTATTCTACTAATCTATAATGCTTCCCTTATCTTGTGTAAAAATAATGGTAATATTGATTCTGCATACATTTTTATTTTATGGGTTCAGATTTGTCAATATTGAACTTTTATTGCTATTTCACTAACTAATATCAAAATTGCACAAATCTGTCTTTAGGAAAGTCTGGTGCACAGGTCTAGGCTTTTTTAATAACATCTATTTGCTGTTTCATTAAATTACATTTTGTGTCAATTATTGGATTTGAGGCATAGTACAGCTGATAAACATAACACTGAACAGCAAATACAATCATATGTGTTCTGTGGAGGTGATAGTCATCCAGACTTACACCAGACGCTGGCAAGCCAAAAGACTGACGGAGCAGCTGAGACAAGAGAGACAGCGCAGACTGGATTGGATGAAGCAGGAGGAAATAAGAAAGAGGAATGAAAAGGAAGACAGAATAAAGAGAGAGTTTGAACGAAGGATGAATCCTCAAACCAAAGAAGATTTTGATCTGTTGTATCATGCTCTAGAAAGTAAGTGAAGTATTTAAAAAGATTCATGATTGCCTTATTTTAAAAATGAGTTACACACAATTCAATTTTATGACGTGACTGAAGTATATAAAACAGTGTCAATTGTTTATTTGTTTGGTTGTATTTTACTTAAATGACTGCAGGTTTTCGTAAAATGTATCAAATGTGTTTTTTTCTGTATGAGTTCATGTTAAATAATATAAAATACTGTTCAGTTCAGTTTTTCATTATTTAACCATAGAGTAAAATGGCTCTATAGACATTAACTTACTTAATTTTAATCTTTTGTGCTAATAAGCAAGTGTGTGACTATCGCTGAGATATTAAAGTATTTAATCTTTTAGTTCATACAGGAACTTGTATTGGTTGATAAATGATAGTGATGTACCAGTGCAAAAATCATAAGCTTGTCTGCGTTTTACAGTGCCTATAAAAAGTCTATACACCCTTTCTAAAATAAGACATTTTGTGGCTTAACAGCCTGAAATCAAGACATTTACTCAAAATTTATTTTACTTTTATTTACACATTGTAATGCCCAACCTCCAAGTTAAAAACACATACTCGGACACTCTGAAAAGTGTTTATTATAATTGATAAGCTAGAAAAATGGGTTGGATGTGTACACATCCCTGAGTTAGTACTGTACGTGGAGGAAGCACCTTTTTTACCATTATTGCTGTTTGGATGGTTCCGAATCAATATAGCACATTTAGATATGCCCATTTTTTCCTGTCAGAAATGTTCAATTTTCAAGTTGATGGACTGCAGCCTTCAAGGTATTTCATAGATTTTCAGTTGGATTGAGGTCAAGGCTCTGACGGGGGTCACTCGAGGACATATACTGTACCTTTTTGTTCTTTAGTAACTCCACTGTTGCTTTGGCTTTGTTGCTTGTCTGTTGCCTTGGCTCATTGTCACTCAGATTTGTGAACTTTTGTCCTAATTTCATCTTTCTTGCAGAAGGCAGCAGGTTTCTTTCAAGGACTTTTCTGTACTTTGCTTCATTAATTTCCCCTTCTCTCCTGATAAGTGTCCCAGTCCCTGCAGATGGGGAAACATCCCAGGAACGTGATGCTGCATATTCCATTCTTCACAGCTGTGATAGTGTTCTTTAGGTGATGTTTTGTGTTGGGTTTGCGCCAGTACCTTGCATTTAGGTGAAAAAGTTCCATTTTAGTTTTTTGTCAGACCAAAAAAACATTTTGCCACATTTGCAGTACACAATTTGTTTCCCCAGTAATGGCTTCTTTCTTGTCCTCCTACCATACAGCCAAATCTGTGAAGTACTTGGGATATTTTTTTGACCAGTTTTGACCATTAAAGCCTGTAGCTCAAGGTTGCCATTGGTCTCATGGTATCCTCTCTGATGAGTCTCCTTGTTTGGTCATTCACTTTAGATGGCAAGTCCTGATCTAGGTGCCATACACCTTCCACTTCTGAGTAATTGTCTTGATCATGCTCCAAGGGATATTTAAGCCTTTTTGACATCTGTTTTTATATCAATCTCTTGCTCTGTGCCTTTCCACAACTTTATCCCATTTGATGGCTCCATGTTGCCCTTAGTTGACTTAGTTACTTTGAGATGCACTACTCAGCAGAGGAGACCTTCAGGGACAGTTGATTTTATTCTAAAATCATCAGAATCGCTACACTTGAACACAGGTGAAGGCTAATTAACTTGATGTGTGATTTGGAAGGCAATTAGGTTACACCTAATTTAAATTGCTTTTACTTATCCAGCAGATTTTTCTAAATTAAGTTTTCATTTGTAATTATATGTCATAGTGCTCGAGCTTTTGTTTTTTACTTGAAGGTTCAGTGTTACAGTGTGTAAATAAAGATAAAATAAATTGTGTTACTTTGAAAGGTGTGTGGACGTTCTATAGGGACTGTATGTGTATGAGTGTGTTCAAGCAGTATATATTATAGCATATATTATTGTCAGGCAATAATATAAAAACAGTATTTTCTTTGCTTCTTTTGAGAATGGAGACAAGAGGAGATTGACCATATTAACTCTACCCTCACTGGACCTGAGCGGAAAGCAGCACTCTGTGCGCTGCTGGAACAAGAAACCCAGCTAATTGCTTCTATTGGGAGACACAGGCTGGTTGCAGGTGAAGAAAACCTTAAGAAGTCAGTTGCAGCATTTTTAGAAAAGGTCAGTTTGCATCCAATGCAAATATCACTCCATCCAGAATGGGAACATACAGTAGCAGATATTCTGAGCTCATTAATTTGTTTTGTTGTGATGAAGTCTGAATTTCTTTTATATGTTCTATTAATCATCTATCCTAAACTGATAGCTGTTTTTGAATACACTAAACAAATCGAGCAAAAAGTCAACACATTATTTGATAAATTAGAAAAATACTCATCATTTTTTTTACAAAACCATTTTCCACTGGAATGAAAGTACACCTGCTTTCCTTTTTGCATTTTTGAAAGAAAATGTGAACAAATTAATTTTATTTAATACCAATTGTGCAACCAAACACTTTTTTTTTGTTTTTAACAAATATATATATATATTAAATAAAGCATTATAACTCTGATTAAGAGAGAATTTCAATAATATGTTTTATGTAACTTTAATAGCACCCTTGGTCTAAATTGCAGACTCTTGAAAACATGGTTTATAAGCAAAAACACATTACGCATTCTCCTAAATAGGTGAGCCGATGGGTCACTTACTGTAAAAAATATGTTAAAAATACAAGACAGAATTCAGTGTAGGATGTACGTGTTCAGGACTATTGTTTGCTTTCTGAGAAAGTAGCTTTGATGCATCCAAGACATGTTAGGAGAGGGTAGTACTTCTACCTTTACAGCTTCTTTGTGCCTATCTACAGGGGTTGAAGGGGGTTTCTCCCAGTATTGCCAGAACTAGTTGGAGAATGAAAATATTCACTTTTACAAATGTTGATGTTGTGACAAAAGTTACAAGTACTAAACATTACAAAAGTAATTTATATATAATGTTCCTATTTTCAGTAGATATCTATTGAAACTATATATAAACCTTAAGGTTATTTACTGTAAGTGATACAGTATACAGTTTTCAATGGAAAAAGGATACCTACTTCTCAAAAACTACATGCACGTTTCTCTGTAATGCAAGTATGACATAAATATGACAAAATCTAAGACAGGGCTGTTTGATGCATCTATCATGTTTTCCTATGGTAGATTTCTCTTTTCCTTTTAGTGTGCTGAACCAAAGAAGTGGAAAGCATTTGATGGAAAAATCACTGAAATGGATACACAATACACAATCAGAGCTAGAGAGCTACGGGATATTTATGCCAGTATAAACATGAAGTATCTAAGTCAAGATGAAAGACTTGATGTCCTTTTAACCTTGAAACATACTGTGAAGGTAGTTTTTATTTTATATTCAAGCATTACAAAATAAATTCATTTGATATACCAAGGCCCTAACGATGGTCTTTTCTTTTTCTGGTTTGTGATAGGAGCATGACTGTAAGTTGACTCAAGATATTGTGGAGTTGATTGACAGAGAGGCTGATCTTATGATGAGAGGAATTAAGGAAAGCAATTTGGAGGGGCTCAGAAAGAGGATTTCTACCCTTTTCCTTCAGTATATTAAAACACCAACATTTAACCCTGAGGTTACGAGGTTACTTAAGGTAAATATACCAGCTTCATGCATTTGCCATATCCTACTCCAAGGTTTCTTTCACTAGGGGAACAATGTTATATTGAAAGATCGTCTTTGTTTGGTGCTTTGTTTCATGTTACTTAACTTTCTCTATCACTTTATTTTTTCCTTCTTTAGGTTCCACAAGACCCGGCACAATTACGCAAAAATATCTACTTCTGTCCAGGATGTAGAAGCTACCTGCCTTCTACTGATTTCTCTCTAACACTGAACTCCCGTTCAGTAGGCAGGTGCCGAAAATGCAGCAAGCTGGATAATGAGGCACGGCGGCGAGAAGACTTATCTAAATACAAGAACATTCTTAAGCATCTTAGAAAGAGTGAAGCTGAGCACAACGAAGATGCAAAGATTGCTTTCTTATTGCAGGTATTCACTCCAGTTTTTTTTTACATTTATACAATTTTTTGTTCTGATGGAAAATTCTTCTTTAAAATATAGTTTTGCATACTTCAATGTACTGTAACTAGTAAACAACTAAAATGATAGGGATTTTCTTCTACTGACATACTGTACTTTGCACTCTACAATCTGCCAGTATGGTTATGCCTTTTATTTTGAAATTCTAACTGCCAGACAACCATAGTTTTTGGTATTTTTAAAATTCCTATTTTTAATTTGTATTGCAATAAAATACCAATATATGACAAACATTTCTGTAATTCTATTATATATCCTATTCATAGGCTTCTGTGCACTAAATGCTATAGTGTACATGCTTATGCTACAGTACGTAGCTTTGTATGAAATGTGACTGGATTGTAAAGTAACAGGACTCATCCTGACTGTGGTGTATGTTACACAAGATCAGGAATAGCCTTTGGACACAGATTCTCACTCCAAGTCCTGGGCCATGGGTACATCTGTTTTTTTAATTTGCCCGAACTCTTAATGATTCCAGTGAATCAGTTTTCCTTAACTTATCTTAATTCAGTGTTTCTAAGTCTTCAGTCATTGAGAAGTCTGAATTCTCTATAAATCATGAATAGATGTGGCTCTCCAGGACTATGAATGGGGATCACTGACTTGGGAGATGTTTTACCAGATTTGTACTAATATGAGAAAAACCCTGATAAGACAAACAGACAATTGTGACATTCAGGCACATCAATACAGCATGATACCAATGGGACTCATTTATTTGACATAATAGTATGCTTTTAGGAGTTGAAGTCATTAAATGTTGGTAACTAGCAATAAGGGAGGGGATCCCTGTTTTCTAAGAAACCAGGCAAGAAGGAGCTTGATTAGAGTTTACTGTGCTGGGAAGAAGACATGGTAAACCTACAATAAGGTGACACAATAGGAAAAATCAAATTTTAGAAATTTTATTAGGCGATAATGTGCTCACATAAAGCACTGAAGAATAAAATTATAAACTTGTAATTGATTCTTCATAATAAAATACTTTTTCTCAACCCCATTTAAGGGTACTCAAAAACTGAATTTCAAAGCACAAAATATGTAAGGAATTTTTAATTTATTGGTTTGCAGCAGCTGTTGAAGTATGCATTGTCTGTTTTGGTTGTATTTGTAACTATATCTTGTTAATTTCATCTAGAATTTGTCATGCTGATGTAATTGTTTGCAGCTATTAACATGAAAACTGTGAGCCCAGTAAACCTGTTTTTGCTTAAATTATTATTAAATGTTGATATATAATATTGTGCATCACCTTACAGTGTATATATAGTGTGCATGTAGTATATACTACCAAGCAAATTTGTATTCTCATTGTAGGAAAAAGATCTACAGTATTTGGTGGATGTTATATGGGGCGCCCAATCACCACTTAGTGCATGGGATGACTTGCACGATCTTGTCATTGTGCGCTGGGACAGGTTCTCTGAATGGTCTCCATGGAACTGTATTCTGTTAACAAAGGAAGAAGCAGCTGCTCATGTAAAACTGGACAATACTGAGCAGGTGGGGGTAATTTCTGTTTTGTGTTTAATAATGATACAATTTTCTTCTGGAAAAAAATCTAATACCAAACCAAAAAGATCACTATCGGCTGTAGTTATGGCACTGTGATGTTGCTGTAATTCTTTGACTTATCCTTACACTGAAAATAAATATTTAATATGAGGTATTGTATTTAAATCCTGAGTTGTTCAAACCGCAGCATTTCTTGTGTTGTTTCTCTAACACTATTTATTGCATTCTGCCAGCAGGTGGCATTCTATGCTTAGATGTTGTAAACAATAATAACAAATTGAATTCCTTTAAATTCCTTTGAAACTGTAGTTTTCAGTTCATTTGTCTAAACTTTTTTCCTTATAGAAGGCAATTCTCCATTCTCCCTTTTTTTCAAGTGTGTGACTCTTAAATAAATGTTTGGTTTACAGACTAGAATGATTTTCCTCTTTCCAAATGATCAGTTTAAATTTAAAATATATTTCCTTATATAACTATGAAATTAGTTTTTTAAGAAAATATTCTTTTTTTTGAATTGCAACCCAACTCCTGAAATGATTATTACTCTAGTTTACAGTCGCAGGCATAAGAAATCTCCTACAGTATAAATAAACTGTAACTAAATTATTTAGTATCGCTAAGATGGAAATTTCTATTTTACAATGATACTCTTTTACTTTTACTCTTACTCATGACTGTTCAGGATTCTCCTACTTTGACTTTTTTTTTTTCTTTTGACAGGCCTATGGGATTGTATTTATTCGTAAGATCAAGCACAAGCACACTTTGGCAAAAAAATATTTTGCTCAAGTTCCAGCAATGGCACAGTTCTTACATACTTATAACTCTCAATCTGCATCCCAGGATGACCTTTTAATAACAAAACCTATTTCAACTGAAACACAATCATGATTTATTTTTTAAATGAAAACTTGATGTGGTTTTGAATTGCAAGAAGCCTTTTTATTATTAAAGAATTTACTGAATCTAGAATAAACAAAATATTGTGTTTTCATTTATTTCTGGGGGTCCTTGAAAAAAAATATAAGTTGTACAGTAGACTTATTATGCTGATTATTCTTATTTTCCCGTTTAATTTCAAACAATATTGCACAAAGAATGCATTAAAAACCTTTTTTCCAAACAATGGGCTATTTTTTATCTTATGTCTTCCAGCTACAGGCTGGAAAAAATGGTGTGATGGTATAGCACAGTCACAGCATAGCAGCAGCCTTAATTGTTTCAAAACCAAAAAACAAAACTGTTCTTCCTTCAGGTTTGTCTCACAGGTTCAGACAAGCTCTGCCTCTTAATGGCAGTCAGTCCCTCTGAAAGCTTTCACAAAGCTGTTCTATCTACAGGCTCATTGGTCTTCAAGGTTCAGTCAGTCTCCCTGCCTCTGTCTCTCTCACTGTCTGGGGCTCTCCCATGGAGCCCAGGTGCTTGGCATCTCTGGCCATTGCCAGCTACCTCACACACCTGCTTCAGGAGAGTACCACATTATAGAGAGAAGACTTCAGCTGTCAGCAATCACAGCTGTGATCACTTAGAGCTGCCCCGTCTTCAAATGCCCATGAGCTGACAACCTGTCATATAGGGTATTTTTGAAACTCAGGACAAAGTGCAGAAATAAGTTCATCAATAGTCTAAGCAGTCATCAAAGACAACAGTTACTGTTACTGGCACTTTTCTGCTGGAAAGAAAACCAGAAACACAGTGGTCCCCCAGGACTAGGACTGGGAACCATTATTTTAATTTGTGTTACAGGAATAAAGGTCTCTTGTAAGTGACTATAAGTGAGCAGACATACTCTGCCTTGATCAAAAAGAGTAGTATGTCAGATTGTTAAATTTGTTAGTTATACAAACCACACGCTTAATTCAAAATGCAGTAAACTACAGTACTATTAACAACATTAGGAAAATACTGCAGTAATGTGTATTATGAATCTCATTGTACTTATTATGAGAGTTAGCTGTTACATGGGCTAATTCTAATAAAAAAGGAATAAACATGAATCGTTTCCTCAAGTATAACAAGGATAATTCCATACTACTGTATATAAATGCTTCTGAAATGGCCTAACAAAAGCAAGCAATTGTCATTGCTAGTCTGTAATTTTCTTTTTTACTGGGGTATGCAGACACCTTCACCTGGACTGGTGAGTTGGAAGTCTGTATCCGGTTTACATTTGTAACCAATTTTGGTTTAATAAATAATTCATTACATCACCTGTACATGTCATGTATGTTACAGTTACAGTCCAATCCATACGTTCATGAATGGAATTCTTGTGTAAAGATTTATTAGTTGAATGAAATTCCTAGTCTGATGTTCATACTGTAGGAAGTACTGTATACTGTAAGTGTACGTACTGTAAATATATGTGTGTATCTAGAGTCTTTCAAAAGTATTCAACTCCCTGCGGTTTCCATATTTTCTTGCTGTATGACACAACCTACTCCAAATTGATTAAGTTAAAAATTGCAATAATATGTAAATACATTATATTTTGAATAAGGATCACCAAAATGAAAATGTCTTTTCTTAATGTGTGGGAATTATATATTATCTAAGTCCTACTGCCATTAGAAATAGCTATAATCTACTCACTACTAACTACTCACATCAAATTTTTTATATTGATTGATTCTGATTGATTAAATTAAGTAGAATGCATGAATGTTGTGATTCCTGTCTTTTGTGATTATACCCTCTGATGAAAGCAGAACATTGCTTTATTGTACTGTATACAGACAGTTAAAATTAGAGCACACGTGACCAAATTAATGTTACAAACTAAATATTTTATTGCATATCTATGATGCCGTTTCAGCAGCCACTGACAATTCAATTGTATCTTTGATAATGTAGGAAAAATATTTTTTTTTATGATAGTGGTATCAATAAAAAGGTGCGTGTTTGTAAGACAGCGATGTTTAGAAATTAATACCTGAGCAGCAGTTTCATTTTCTTTTTCTCAATAGATTCTGTTGGTGCTGGGTGTTACTATGGTAACAATTGATACATTAACTTTGCGGTGCTCTAATGTATCCTAATTGCATTCGAACTGGTTATAATTATGACTAATTTCTCAGTTATTTAATTATGAAACATTTTTCAGGGGTGTATAATGAATTATGTAGCTTATATTGAGGGTGGAAATAACATATTACTAAAGAAGGCGGTTTCAGTGCTTTTTCTGATGTTCCCCACAGAAAATCTGACCCTCAGAGTATAACAGAAGAGTTATTTTAAGTACAGAAAGGTGATTTTATTATATTACTATATTTATGGATGTATTTAAAATCAAATTCTTGTGTATTTAAATATACTGTACTACTCAGGTTTTGCTATAAGGTCAAAGAGAAATATCTGGTTGATGTTGGTGGACCAGTAGATGGCACTCTTCCCTCTGGAGCAGAACTTATTAACCAATACCCTAGAACGATGACTGAGGATATTGTATCAATGCTGAATGAGATACCGTTCTTTTGATGAAATATTAAAACTGAAATTCTGACTACATGTCATTAAAGGACACAAGGCAGGTGTGTAACCTGCAGTGTTAAACCCTTAAGGTTAAAAACGTACAATCTATAAACACAGATGTCATCAATTCAATTTCAATAACTGTTTATCCAATTCAGGGTCGCGGTGACTCAGAGCCTGTTCTGGGAAACAGAGTGCAAGGCAGGATACACCCTGGATGGGACGTTAATACACCGCAGTAAAGACCGGCGTGCAGTTTAATTGTAAGAAAATTCTGTAAGCGTTTTGTGAAATGCATCTCCTGTTACGCTCACTTAAAACTAAATTTATGCTATTCAGTTAACTTAATTTGAGCTGCTTCTTTTATACCACACCCAAAACTTTGTTTAAGCAAAACAAATCTGTGCAAGTCACCATCAAATATCTAGGCATCTGATTGGATGGCGCTTTAACTTTCAAAACTCATTTTGCTTAGTTGACAAGCTAACATCAAGCTTAGACTTGTTTTTGTTTATTACAACAAATCTTTTATTACAGATTCCCATAGTCATAAACTAGTTCAGATGTATGATATGGCCTCTAGAGCTCCTCTTGGGGAAACTCGATGTCTTTATTCTGCCAGAAGATTAATCACTGCTGCCCTTATTGCTCTCATGATTCCCATCTTTATTCTTTGATTGATTGTCCCTCTCGGCATACTAGATGAACGCTTCACTGGTTTAAATTATTTTACAGATCTTTAATTGGGAAAACACTTTCCTATCTTAAAAATTTATGGCAATTCTCTGTACCATCTTACTGTGTAAGATGTAAGTCTTCTATCAAACTGAGCTTCCCAAAAGTCTGACAGCAAGTCATTTCAATTTGCCACCGTCAATGGCTGGAACAATCTGTGCTATAAGCTGAAACTATCCATTTTTGTGTCTGAAGAAATTTTCAGTCGTATATTTACATCTTTTTACCTGACACCCTTGTTTACACTGCCATGTTCACTTGTGCATGTGGTGGGGAGTCATAATATGCAAACTGAGATGCAGTCTACTGTTGATCTTTTGCAAAGCCACCAAGGTTCATAATCATGATTTGATCACTGGGTCACTTTTTTAGATGTATACTGTACACCTGTTTGTGCACTACATTTACATCTAGTGAAAAAAGATCCAAAATGCAGGAAAATGCTTTTTACTGATGAATTTTCTTGATTATTTAGACTGACAAGGTGGTCTGGCCTTGAAGACATTGTGATGAATATTTCTTGCCAGTGAAAAAAATGGTAGATATCAACTAAGATAAAACCATTTATTTTATTGAGTGCTGTTACCAGTAAATAGCACATTTTAATTTGTCATGAACTATATAAATGACCTTGATAGAACACAACCTTTTTTCTGGTCAATGCTCACTAAATAGAATGAAAGCTTTTTCAATTCATGGAATAAAAAATAAATTTAAACTACAAGAAAAATAATGAGAAATAAACCAGAAATACTGTATATCAGTCCAAAATAAATATAGAAAACAAAAACCTGCAACTAAAATGGATATTGATACATAGTATATTGGTATATTGATAACTCAATGGATGAATTATATCTCTCAAAACACAATGCTACTGGCCTTTATGTAGCTCTCTCTATATGTGTGTAACAAAGTACAAAATGCTATTTTTACAACAAATGAACAACATAAATAAAACTCGTTGCCTTTTTTAGTTTTGTCTTAAACTATTTACTGATACTTAAAATTCAAGAAAAAAGTGGGTAGTGTTGGTGATAATTATTAGAGAAGGTGCAATAAATTGTAATGTAATTATAATACCCAGAGGCATGCCAAGACAAACACCCTTAGCCACATTTCTGACCTTTATGAGTTATTGTATGATTTGAGACAGCATCTGTAAAGGAATTAGATTTTTGTCCTGCTGGGAATCTCAGAGGTGAGAAGGTATAATTTAATTCCTCTTTTCCCTGTAGGGCTTGTATATGTGTAATGGCACTCCAGGACCACAGGGGTTCTGCATGAGTGAGCTCTATTACAAATTCCTCACTACTACATTTAGTCTCTCATTGGAGTATGTTTTATTTATTTATATAGTGGTGACAACAGAATCACCTCTGAATCGAGAATGCAGTTTTAGCAAAGTGTTGAGATTTCTTAGACTTCTATTCCCAAAATAAATTAAAAAGCAAAATATCTGTGGAGATTATTTAATCTGGAATGTTAAATAATTCAGTAATATGTACAGTATATGAAAATCTGATTAAAAAACTTCATGTTTTGTAATGCAGTATAATTTATTGTGTTTTCAGCACAAAACAAAGTGCTTCTTTATAGAACCATATGTTAAAGATTTACAGAACCCAATGTTTTTATACCAAAATATATCAGTCTCTACAGATGCTGTATTTGTCGCTAAACATATAAGACCTTATTATGAGTTATTGCTCACATCATTAAGTGGAAGATTTTGCACCATGGTCATGTTGCTGTGGAAACTGCGAATATTGTTTTAACAAAAGCAGGCAAC